AATAGCGGATCAAACAGTTTAGGGATCAAACGGAAGCAGAGTCAGTCACAAGCCAAGGGTCGGTCACAAACGGTAGTAGATTAGGATGAGGCAAAATTGTAGTCAGTAGCAAGCCAAAGGTCGGTAACGAAGATGTAGACAGCAGCAGGAACGATAAGCGGGATGTTGGCTGGGAAGGCACAATAATCTGGCAAGGAGGAAGTGCATGGACATGGCTTTTATAGGAAGTTCATAGGAGGAGCAAGGAGTTCAAGGTTCAAGACAAACAGGGCCAAGGCAGGATCATCCAAAGAATTGTCAAGAGAGCTGTCCAGCATTCCAGGTGGCTCAGTGAGAAGAAACATTGCCACTCACCGCAGAAGGCCCAGGTTCCACAGAAGAGAGAAGCAGAGGAGAATTAGCCTCACTGGAGGGAACGCATAATAGAGGACTGCTGGAATTAGCCTCACTGGAGGGAACGCATAATAGAGACTGAATTGTCACACATTTACAAGGACATCTACCCTCAAGGCCTGATCCCGCGGATTCAGGGAGAAGAACCGGCTGACCTTCCTGTTTTCTTAGGAAACAAAAAGATCTGCCTTCAGCATACCCCATTTCATATTGATGGTCGCAAACACTTCCTGGTTGAGAGACCATTCATTATGCTTGACTGGATGCTGACTTAGGAAGTCCGCTAGGGAATTCTGCGCTCCTTTCAAAAGGATGGCAGATATCAAACACAAGTTTTGCTCGGCCCAAGACAGTATGCTGTCCGCAATTGCTTGGAGAGGAGGGCTTCTTTTACCCCACTGCTTGTTGATGTATGTCACCGTAGTCATATTGTCCGAATGGATCTGCAGGTGATGGTCTATTAAATCTGCTTGAAAGGCATCCAGTGCTCGCTGAACTGTTAGGAGCTCCCTCTGATTTGAGGATCTCCTAGCTTCCTTCAAGGACCACGACCCTTGAGTCGCTCTTTCGCCTAGATGGGCTCCCCATCCAAAGCTGCTGGAATCGGTCATGATGATAATCGAATATGGTGTGGTCCACTCCAGACCCCTGGCTAGATTGTACTGCCTTCGCCACCACCAAAGGCATCTCTTGATCCTGGAAGGGAGCAGGACTGGAAGATCCAATGCAAACCTGTCTCTGTTCTAAACCCTCAGGAGAAAAGACTACAATTGCCGCTGGTGGAATCTCACCCAGGGAACAGCCAGGAAGCATGATGTCATGAAACCTACTGCGCTCATGATATCCCTTAATTGTAATGGCCAAATTGTTCTGCAGCTCTACCTGCACCTGATCTATTTTGAGAATTTTTTCCTGTGGAAGGAAGAACTTTCTACCGAGGAAATCTTGTACCCAAGATAGGGGACTCTCTGGGAGGGAGCTAAGCATGACTTGTCTGTTTAGGAGCCACCCCAGACTCTGAAGGCAGTCCTGGGAAACCCGCAGATCCTCTGTCAACTGTTGGTGAGACCTGGCCACAAAGAGATCGTCCAGATAGGGAATTATCGTGATAGACCTCATTCTTAGGGGGGCCAAGGTCTCCGCAAGCACCTTTGTAAAAAGTCTTAGTGCTGAGGCCAAATCAAAAAGGTAGAGCCTGGCACTGCCAGTGATGGACCTCTGTACCAATCCTTAATGCTATCCATATGTATTTCTGACACGCATGCTGTATGGGGATGTGAAGATACACATTCCTCAGATCTAGCGTAGCCAAGAAACAATCTGGGTAAAGGACGTTTCTTACAAGAAGATCGATTTCCATCCTGAAGTGTTTGTATCTTAAAGACTGATTGAGGGGGCACAGGTTTAAGAGAAGATGAAACTTGCATGAGGGCTTTTTCATTATGAAAAGATGGGAATAAAATCCCATCCCTTCCTCATTCCAGGGAACCAGAGTAAGGACCCATTGATCCACCAGGTTTCCAATCAGGCCACATAGAGCCTGTGCCTTCTCCTGATACTTGGGAAGGTTGGTTACCAGACACCTGGTGGGGGACTGGTGTCAAATTCCAACCTGTACCCCTTTTCTAGCACGTCCAGAATGTATGGGTTCGAGGAGTCCGACGCCCAGGTCCTCCGACTGGGACACTCGAGTCATTGAGACTTGGTGGGGCCCTGAGGAGGATTGAATAAGATTCCTCCTCACCCTTGTTCTTGTTCCTTGTCCAATGTTTCTTGGGCTGCACATCCTTACTTTTCTGGACCTGTGTTTTCTGATGAAAAACCCTCCTGGAGCAAGATCTCTTCTTACTCTCTGGAAATACCGTTTATCGGCTGTAAGCTCCAAGGCCTCCTTGAGACCTGGGCCGAAAATGTTATCACATGAAAAAGGGAAAGGAAGAAAGGAGTAGCTTGGACACTGAATCCCCTGCCCAGGTCTTCAACCATAAAGCCCTTCTAGCTGAATTCACCAGGGCAGATGCTCTTTTGGCTAGTTTGACGCATTCGGCCGAGGCAGCAGTGAGGAAACCTACCGCTCTAGACAGCAAAGTCAAAGACTTTAGTATTTGCTGTCTGGAAGTCCCTGCTGAAAGACGCGTTTGTACCCACTTCCACCTTCCCTGCGATCACCTAAACGATCGGAAGTGGACCTCCTTCCCCGTAGTCTTCTGGGACTTGTGACAGGTCCCAGAAGACTATGGGACCATTCAGGAAGCGCAGTGCTACTCGCACATGCACAGTGGGCACCCGGCTGTGAAGCCACAAGCTATCACAGCCGGGTGCCCACACTGAAGATACCAGAGCCTGGAACAGCAGATGGCCAGTGAAACGGGCTGCGGGGAGGACACCGCGGGATCGTGGGACAGGTGAGTGGCTATTTTTTAAAAGTCAGCAGCTACAGTTTTTATAGCTGACTTTTATTTTTTTTCACAGTGCGACTGGAACTCCACTTTAACAGACCAAAATATAGAAAATAAGGGAAAATCATCATTACTTGATAATAGACATGCAAAACAATGAAACAGAACGCTTTTTTTAATTTTTATTAAAGTTAAAGCAGACTTTTATACAATATCATGAAAAAGGCAACAGTCTTCCTTTCCGAAACAAACAAAAAATGCAAAAAAAATCATTTCTGCGTTAAATTGATAGCGAATGACTTGATTATCAAACAAATAGGGAAAGTCACCCCCGGACCCTTCTGGAACAGAAGCTTGGTGGAAAAGGAAAAAAAAAAAAAAAAAAAACCAGCAATGGCTGCCGATCTGATCAGCAGCCAAAGTCACCGCTTGGTGGGATCATCGGTCAGAAAACAAATTCAATACTGCGGGGTTCAGTTCTTCTATTTTAAATGTCAGTATCCATGATTTTCCTTGGACAGGACACTACAGATTATGACGGTACGCATCCTACAGATTTTTATAGATTTCATAAATCTAGAATCCGCTAAAAAAAAAAAAAAAAAAAACGAAGCACTGAGAACGGCCCACTGGGCTCACGTTGGACATCCCATGTTCGGTCAAAGCTACATCGAATCAACACATACGGATAGGTCAGAGGCAAACAAACAACAGCATTGTGTGGGCCCTGAAACTGACCTAAAAGGCAATAGGCGTTGTACAGGTTGGTTTTAAAGGGAACCTGTCATTCCAGAAATACATAGGGTGCTGCTGATCAGGGATGCTTTTACAGAAAAAATCTTGAAGAAAGAAATTTCACCCCTCCCCCATTATTTATTTTTGCTTACCCGATGCGGAGTTGGCCACACTTCAGATACTTTACCCACAGAGGATCCAGCGTTGCCTTGCCGAGATCCTCTTCTCTGCAGCCGCCGTCGCCGGGCCCCACACCGTCATGTCATTCTCTCTTTCAGAGACACGGTCACATTGCCCTCACTGCAACGAGTGGGGATGTCAGCCCTCTCCACCTCGTCCAATCAAAGAACGCTTTGTATTCATTCAGAAAGTGCAAAGCATTGCTGTGTTCAGAACACAAATCAGACACTTGACACGGGACCCAAAAAGCAAGTTGAGATCACTGGGGTAGCCGCATCTACCTCATGTGATTTCCAGCTTCCAGGGGCATCGGCGAGGCATGGTATATACATAATGTGACGGGAGTGACTTTTGGGGGGTGGGGAGACCCCTGTCTCAGCCCCCCAAATCCCTCTTATGTGTAAGTCGCCCTGTGCCTGTTAGGGGTACAGGGTGATCTGTCCTGCTATTGTGTTGGCATGTATAGGTGGGGGTTGTTCATTGTTTAATGCCATGTGGTTGTCCCATTGTTCTATTATGTGTCTTGCTTGGGAGCAAACTATTATGGGATGTAAGGGTTTGTGTATTGTCTACTGCCATGTGGTGTATCCCATTGTTCACTGCCATGCGGCTGCATCCCATTGTTCTAGCAAACTATTATGGGATGTAATGTTTCCAGCAGCCCTTCCCCCTGATGGACGGCCTGCTGATGTGTTTCCTGTCTGGGTGTGTATTTCCCCACCCTGTGTATATATCTTGTATCTATGTCAAAATAAAGGAGTCCATTTCCTGTCTTTCGTACAAGTCTGGTGTGTCTCATCCTGTTTGGTCAGCGGTGGTGTCAGGGGATCTGTGTTCGGACAGGGAAGCGGGAATTTAACGGAATACCCAAGTGCGGTCTGGGTCCGGTTCCGTTACACATAACTGTGTTTAAACTATCCATACCTGGGATTCCTCTTTAAAGCTCCAGATTCCTCCCAATTAAAATATAAACTAACAGCTAACTATAATAAAAATACAAGGCCGTGGACAAGCAATCGATATTTTCGAAAGATCAGCAATGACACCCTCTGTATTCTGGAGAGGTGTCCTTTAAACAACACCCCCCCCCCCCCACACACACACCTTACAACCTCTAGGCTGCAGTAGAAACAACTATGAAAAAAAAAAAAAAAAAAAAAAAGTCTTTCTGGTGCACTAACGCGTTTTTCAACAACAAATATATACAATTATTTTTTTTTCTTTTCCCTTTTTTTTTTTTTTGTTTTGTGTTTAAAGTATTTACAATAAATACACCGGTGCGACACTTCACGCCTAATCGCTGTCATCTGATCCCCGGTCTGACTTCTCATTGGTGGACATCTCCTGCTCAGACTCATTTGGAGAACCTCTGGCCGAACCCTCGTTGTCAGAACCCCTGTTGGACTGGGGGCTACGTGATGCAGCCCGCGACTCGTTGTCTGAGCCCCCGGAAGCGCTTTTTCTGGATTGGACGGAGCCGTTGTCTGATCCGGAGTCTGACCTTCGCCTCTTCCTCGGCCAGTTGTCTTCAGAGTCCTCGCCGGACTGCTGAGACCTCTGCGGGCTGCCGGCACCGCTTCCTGATTTGTTCCCGTTATCAGAGTCACTGTCGGACATGATGCGCTTTTTCGCCGGTCTGCCGCCATCATCCGAGTCACTGTTGCTGTTTCTGGCATTTCTTTTTAGGAGGGAAAATGTGACAAATTTGTTAAATGGAAAAGAAGCATAATAATCTAACCGCATAAGTGAGAACATAGGAGGACATTAGACCTACAGCCAGAGGATCTTGGCACTGGATCCACAGGGATAAATAGATCTGATTAAAGCGATGGAGAAGGGTCAGAATTTCTAGAAGCCCGACATTGTTGTCTGTGTCCCACCTCACTTCTTGGCCAGGACAGGAAAAGCAAATCCTGTCAATAATCCCCAATAAAACAGAGACAGCAAGAGCAGTTACTGACCCTTCCCCACACAATCCAAAACTGGAGGTTCCACTTTTAAGGCCGCATCTGACTTTTCAAACTTTTAGAAATGAAAGCCTTACAGTGGGAACTGTGACCCCCTATTGCCCTGAAAATACTCTGACGGTTTGTGTCTGGACAGCCCTCGGTGAGTAGGGGCCCGACATCAGGACAGATATAAGCCCTACTCATCAACCCATTATCTAGTGAGAGCTTCATTGTTGTCCATTGCCCTACTCATCACCCCACACCCCACTATCCACCGAGAGATCCATTATTGTCTGCTGCCCTACTCATCACCCCACTAGCCACCGAGAGATCCATTATTGCCTGTTGCCCTACTCATCACCCTGCTATAATGAGGGAAACATTATTGGCTGCTGTCCTACTCATTACCCCAATATGCAATGAGATTTTTTTTCTCTTTATAAATGGTGGCTGCCCTATGCATCACCCAACTCTTCAATGAGAGATCCTTCATTGGCTGCTGCCCTCATTTACCCACTATCCACCGAGAGATCCATTATTGTCTGTTGCCTTACTCATCACCCTGCTATTTACCAAGAGATCCATTATTGTCTGTTGCCCTACTCATCACCCTGCTATCCACCGAGAGATCCATTATTGTCTGCTGCCCTACTCATCACCCCACTATCCACCAAAAGAGATCCATTATTGTCTGTTGCCCTACTGCTGTACTCCTCACCTCACTGTCCAATGTCCAAAAGCTCCATATACGGCTGCTGCCCTATGCAACACTCCACTATCTTACCCCATTATCCAATGAGAGCTCCATTTATGGCTGCTGCCCTTTGCAGCACCCCACTATCCAATGAGAGCTCCATTTATGGCTGCTGCCCTATGCAGCACCCCACTATCCAATGAGAGCTCCATTTATGGCTGCTGCCCTATGCAACACCCCGCTATCCAATGAGAGCTCCATTATTGGCTGCTGCCCTATGCAACACCCCGCTATCCAATGAGAGCTCCATTATTGGCTGCTGCCCTATGCAACACCCCGCTATCCAATGAGAGCTCCATTATTGGCTGCTGCCCTATGCAACACCCCGCTATCCAATGAGAGATCCATTACTGGCTGCTGCCCTATGCAACACCCCGCTATCCAATGAGAGATCCATTATTGGCTGCTGCCCTATGCAGCACCCCACTATCCAATGAGAGATCCATTATTGGCTGCTGCCCTATGCAGCACCCCACTATCCAATGAGTGATCCATTACTGGCTGTTGCCTTATGCAGCACCCCACTATCCAATGAGAGATCCATTATTGGCTGCTGCCCTATGCAGCACCCCACTATCCAATGAGAGATCCATTATTGGCTGCTGCCCTATGCAACACCCCACTATCCAATGAGAGATCCATTACTGGCTGCTGCCCTATGCAACACCCCACTATCCAATGAGAGATACATTATTGGCTGCTGCCCTATGCAACACCCCGCTATCCAATGAGAGATCCATTACTGGCTGCTGCCCTATGCAACACCCCACTATCCAATGAGAGATACATTACTGGCTGCTGCCCTATGCAACACCCCGCTATCCAATGAGACCTCCATTACTGGCTGCTGCCCTATGCAACACCCCACTATCCAATGAGAGATACATTACTGGCTGCTGCCCTATGCAACACCCCACTATCCAATGAGAGATACATTATTGGCTGCTGCCCTATGCACCACCCCGCTATCCAATGAGAGATCCATTACTGGCTGCTGCCCTATGCAACACCCCACTATCCAATGAGAGATACATTACTGGCTGCTGCCCTATGCAACACCCCGCTATCCAATGAGACCTCCATTACTGGCTGCTGCCCTATGCAACACCATACTATCCAATGAGAGATACATTACTGGCTGCTGCCCTATGCAACACCCCGCTATCCAATGAGACCTCCATTATTGGCTGCTGCCCTATGCAGCACCCCGCTATCCAGTGAGAGCTCCATTATTGGCTGCTGCCCTATGCAACACCCCACTATCCAATGAGAGCTCCATTTATGGCTGCTGCCCTATGCAGCACCCCGCTATCCAGTGAGAGCTCCATTATTGGCTGCTGCCCTATGCAACACCCCGCTATCCAATGAGAGATCCATTATTGGCTGCTGCCCTATGCAGCACCCCGCTATCCAGTGAGAGCTCCATTATTGGCTGCTGCCCCATGCAACACCCCGCTATCCAATGAGAGCTCCATTATTGGCTGCTGCCCTATGCAGCACCCCGCTATCCAATGAGAGCTCCATTATTGGCTGCTGCCCTATGCAACACCTCGCTATCCAATGAGAGCTCCATTACTGGCTGCTGCCCTATGCAACACCTCGCTATCCAATGAGAGCTCCATTACTGGCTGCTTAAGTACATTATTAAAGAGGGGGATTTCAGGAGGGAAGACAATGGAGGACACGTATCAATTCTGTTGCACAGTACGGAGATGCTAATCAGGAGTGAGACAGACTTTAAGGGATGAAGTATACAGGGTAACTTCATTCATAAATCTCTTCTCACCCTTCGTCGGCGATCTTCAGTTTGTCCTCGTCCGAAGAGTCGTCATCGCTGGAGGAGATCATGGCTTTCGATTTGATTTTGCCTCTCATGGAAGCCGGAGTTCGCTCAACTTTAGCCGGCTGAAAAAGCAGACAATTATCCATTTAACATTTCCTTTCTAGGTGACCGAAAAAAACAAAAAACAAAAAGGAGAAAAGAAAATACCTTCTTCTGTGGAGGTCTCTTCTTAGGTCGTGGACGATCATCCTCGTCATCTGACCCTTCACCTGTCTTTGAAGGCCTGAAAGAGAATCAGTCACAAAATCAAGTTTACGAAAGAACCGACTGGAACTCGGCTTAGAGTACACAGGGCATTACTATTAATAGCCTGGGATGTGAGACACGTACCTCTTCCTCCTCTTTTTCTTCTTCTTTTCTCCCTCTTGGCCTTCACCTCCCTCCTGATCCCCTCCGCTGTCACTGCCGCCCTTCCTCCTCCTCTTCTTTCTGGGCAGATCATCGTCTGAGTCATCATTAACAAACTCCTCAAACTCCCCATTTTTTTTCGATCTCTGCAAATCACATAAAAGATGCGCGATTACCTCCAGGACAAAGGAGGAACAATCCTAAGAAGAACTGGCATTGCTTTGATCTCCCAAGATATACATCATAAACTACTCAGCTCTGGTCCTTTTCTAATGCTCCGGAACCTATCAGAGAGGTTTCCGAACATGCGATCGCTACGTTAGCTATGAGTGTTGGTTCACAAAAAAATACAGTTTTTAGCCTGTAGGTGGCACTGCAGCCTGCCTCTGTGTAATACTGTAATTGCCAGATACAATTTCATTATTAAAAAAATATATTTGCATATTTATAATATAAATTAGCATTTCATTTTCACATTGTTGCCCATATTTTTAAATTAAAAACATAGGTAAGGAATGTAATAAAACAGTGTACCCAATACAATCAATAATTTATTTAGGCAGGTAAAATTAGTCATAGTTAAAAAAAACCCAATGCTGCTATAGCAGGTCTTCAATGACCTCTGGCCACCAATGGGCTAAGTAACAGACTGGTTGAACGCACCCGTCCTCCTCCACGTTTCTTTTCTCTTGGGGTCTCCATCTCTCCAGTGAACTGCAGGAGGTTTTTGGTCTTCTCCACGTACTGAGCTCTCTGCTCCAAGAGCTTCTTCTGCTCCTCTTCCTCCTTGAGGCGTTTCTCTTCCTGGAAAAGTAAAAGTCAAGTGTGATGAGATACAGAGCAGTTATTATTCAATAGGAAGCTAGCAAGTAATCAGAGTCAGTCTCTTTTACACAAACATTATTGTGAAATATAAGAGTTTGCAATACACCTGAATCAGGGGCAGACTGACAACTCATGGGGCCCCGGGCAATAGGGGATCATGGGGCCCCTGTGTCCTTGCCCAAACTCAAAAAAGCCTATGAAAAGGGTACCAGGGGCATCTCATGGGGCCCCTACTGACCCCGGGCCCTGAGTGCCCGAGTTTCCAAATGGTCAGTCCACCCCTGATCTGAATATTAATCTTCCTGTTCATAAAGTAATGTAGTGGCTGACTGCGGGTGATTGATCCCCTACAGAAGTTGGATAGGCTGGAACCTTTTACTCACCATGCCAGACACACCTGAAGTTCTGTTCAAATCTTAACTTCCCTTTAAAAGTTAGGCTTACCCTGCACCCTGTAGACCCTCCCTGTTGATAAATAAAGACCACCAACTATGTTAACTACTTCCAGACCTCCTGCCTGCAATGTACTGCGGATGGTCGGCCTGCACATGGAAAGTGATGTACCAGCTGCCTGCTTCCTTGTTTAGGGCATGTGCATATATCTGGTCTCCCTGGACCCCGCATTCACTATATCCGGTCACCCCGGACCCCGCATTCACTATATCCGGTCTCCCCGGACCCCGCATTCACTATATCCGGTCTCCCGGACCCCGCATTATATCCGGTCTCCCCGGACCCCGCATTCACTATATCCGGTCTCCCCGGACCCCGCATTCACTATATCCCCGGACCCTGCATTCTCCCCGGACCCCGCATTCACTATATCCGGTCTCCCCGGACCCGCATTCACTATATCCGGTCTCCCCGGACCCCGCATCCGGTCTCCACTACCCCCGCATTCACTATATCCGGTCTCCCCGGACCCCGCATTCACTATATCCGGTCTCCCCGGACCCTGCATTCACTATATATCCGGTCTCACCTGGACCCCGCATTCCTATATCCGGTCTCCCCGGACCCCGCATTCCCTATATCCGGTCTCCCCGGACCCCGCATTCACTATATCTGGTCTCCCTGGACCCTGCATTCACTATAGCTGGTCTCCCCGGACCCCGCATTCACTATATCCGCTCTGCCCGGACCCCGCATTCACTATATCCGCTCTCCCCGAACCCTGCATTCACTATATCTGGTCTCCCCGGACCCTGCATTCACTATATCCGGTCTCCCCGGACCCTGCATTCGCTATATCCGCTCTCCCCGGACCCTGCATTCACTATATCCGGCTCTCCCCGGACCCCACATTCACTATATCCGCTCTTCCCGGACCCCACATTCACTATATCTGGTCTCCCCCAGTACACAGTACATGGAAATGCAATTATTTTAGTAAATATAAACTGCTAAATACCTTTTCTTATCAGCAGTATATAGCAGTCTTGTGACTTTTATCAGTGTCCAGCAGAGCACTGGTTAAAGCTCCCTGTCTGGACAGTGCCGATTGGCCCTGTGCTGATCACATGCACCCTCCCAAGAAAAAGTAAAAAACTCTCTAGCAATACACACTAATCTGAGCATGTGCAGTTTACCCCCAAGGCTCTGTACTTTCAGCAGATGGATTGGGGACAGTAGAAGGGGAGGATCAGAGAAGACAGGATCAAACAGCATTAACCCCTTAGGTTCCACAGTGAGTATAACAAGCACGCTTTACTGCATCTACAGACTGATTTTCCTGTTGTGGGTTTAGTAACACTTTAACATTGATTGTAAACCCTTCCATATAACCAGGGCTGGGACAAGAGGTGGGCAGGAGGGTGAGTTGCCCCTGGCACAGTGAACTCAGTGAGAGATGGGGGAGCCGCATGGTGATTGCCCACCCATGTAGCATTTTAGGTCTGTAGGTTTCAGGGAGGGAGAGAGGTGGGAATTGTACTGGGGACACAATGGGGGAAGGGGGGGGACACTGGATTTGTGGTAGGAGAGCCTGGGCATATGACCTATTAAATTCCCATCTCTCCAGTCATGGAGCTCTCTCTTTCTCTGCATAGAACAGATAGAACTCTATGGGTAATGCAGGTTCAAGTGAAATCAATCTATGATTGAAGAACGGCAGTTACTGCATCTACAGACTGATTTGTGGATTTTGTATACAAACGGGACCGGACGGTGGCAGTGCAGGAGTGGGTGGCATTCATAAACGGCCTCCCCGCAGCCTGCTTCTGCGCGCTCCTGGGGGGGGGGGTGAAAGCATCCGGACTGGAAGGGGGGGGGGGGGTGAAAGCGTCCGGACTGGAAGGGGGGGGGGTGAAAGCGTCCGGACTGGAAAGGGGGGGGGTGAAAGCGTCCGGACTGGAAGGGGGGGGGGGGTGAAAGCGTCCGGACTGGAAGGGGGGGGGGGTGGGGGGGGGGTGTAAGCGTCCGGACTGGAAGGGGGGGGGTGAAAGCGTAGGGACTGGAAGGGGGGGGGTGAAAGCGTAGGGACTGGAAGGGGGGGGGGGGGGGGGTGAAAGCGTAGGGACTGGAAGTGGGGGGTGAAAGCGTCCGGACTGGAAGGGGGGGGTGAAAGTGTCCGGACTGGAAGGGGGGAGTGAAAGTGTCCGGACTGGAAGGGGGAAGGGAAAGGTCCGGACTGGAAGGGGGGGGGGGGGGGGGTGAAAGTGTCGGACTGGAAGCGGGGGGGGGGGGGGGGGGGTGGGTGTCCGGACTGGAAGGGGGGGGGTGAAAGGTCCGGACTGGGGGGGGGGGGGGGTGAAAGCGTCCGGACTGGAAGGGGGGGGGGGGGGGTGAAAGTGGGACTGGAAGGGGGGGGGGGGTGAAAGGGGGGGGGGGGGGGAAAGTGTCCGGACTGGAAGTGGGGGGTGAAAGGTCCGGACTGGGGGGGGAGTGAAAGTGTCCGGACTGGAAGGGGGGGGGGGAGTGAAAGTGTCCGGACTGGAAGGGGGGAGTGAAAGTGTCCGGACTGGAAGGGGGAAGGGAAAGTGTCCGGACTGGAAGGGGGGGGGGGGGGGGGGGGGGTGTGAAAGTGTCTGAAAGTGTCTGGACTGGAAGCGGGGGGGGGGGGGGGGGGGGGGGGTGGTGAAAGTGTCCGGACTGGAAGGGGGGAGGGAAAGTGTCCGGACTGGAAGGGGGGAGGGGAGGGGAAAGTGTCCGGACTGGAAGGGGGGGAGGGAAAGTGTCCGGACTGGAAGGGGGGAGGGAAAGTGTCCGGACTGGAAGGGGGGAGGGAAAGTGTCCGGATGGAAGGGGGGAGGGAAAGTGTCCGGACTGGAAGGGGGGGAGGAAAGTGTCCGGACTGGAAGGGGGGAGGGAAAAGTGTCCGGACTGGAAGGGGGGAGGGAAAAGTGTCCGGACTGGAAGGGGGGAGGGAAAGTGTCCGGACTGGAAGGGGGGAGGGAAAGTGTCCGGACTGGAAGGGGGCAGTGAAAGTGTCCGGGACTGGAAGGGGGGGAAAGTTTTCTGTCTTTGGCTGTAATGTGCATAGACTCCTATGGGACGATCTTTAGATTTGGGACACAGCCCCATAGAAGTCACAGGCGCAGCCGGGACAGGGAAGACTTATTTATTTTATTTATTTATTTCAGGTACGTATATAGCGCCATCAATGTACTCCGCGCTTTACATATATATTGTACATTCACATCAGTCCCTAACCCTCAAGGGGCGTACTCAAGGGGTGTACAATCTAAGGTCCCTAACCCTCAAGGGGTGTACAATCTAAGGTCCCTAACCCTCAAGGGGTGTACAATCTAAGGTCCCTAACTCACAGTCATACATACACATACTAGGGACAATTTAGACAGGAGACAATTCACCTCCCAGCATGTCTTTGGAGTGTGAGAGGAAACCGGAGTACCCGGAGGAAACCCACACAAGCACAGGGAGAACATGCAAACTCCATGCAGGTGGTGCCGTGGTTGGGATTCGAACCAACGACCCGAGTACTGCCAGGTGGAAGTGCTAACCATTTAGCCACTGTGCTTGCACTTCTGGATGCAAACAGAAAGCAAAACCATGGCCATCGGATGCAGGTAAGTATGCATCTTTGGAGGGAGAGGGTGAGTTAGGTCAAGGGAAAGGTGCATAAAGGAGAAGTTTACTTTGGTCCTGTAAAGGGCAGATTAGTGCGCTGTTGTTAGCGCCTTCACGACCTGATAATTTTAAGGGACGCATCCAATGGTTCAATACTGGCTGGCTAGATTACAGCTGACATGGAAAATGTGTCTGTAAAAGCCCACACAGGTACGTCAAATATCCAGACGCCCGTAATGCGTCCTATCAGTACAAAACGGCACCCACCTGTTCCTTCACCAGTTTCTGTCTCAGCAGTTCTCTCTCCTGTTCCTGTTTGGCTCGCAGCTCCTTCTCCTCCTCGTCCTGTTTACGGGCGCGAGCGACGTGATACTGCGCCTGGCTCAGGAGATCGGAACACTGCCTGTAATGCAGGACAATGGTGGTACTCAGCGATACACGATGCGGTCAGAGGTCCAATCCCGCTTATTCCCACACTAGTGTCTATGACAAGGAAGGGTCACATACCTGGCCTCTGAGGCAGCGAGAGCCAAATCAAACCGCATCTTATCACCGACCTTGCTCAGGTAGTTGAAATATCTAGAAAATAAAAATATATCTAAATTGCCTATAAACCCAAAACTGCACCTTATCAGTCCTCGGAGGTGGCGGCTGCATTAGTTTTCTTTCATCAGGCTTTCCTTCCTTTATTTTCATCTGGTGATCCTACCAGTCATGCACTTAGAATGACAACACTCACTCCTTGTACTGCATCTATGGAGAAGCAGCGTTGTCACCAGGGGCGGACTGACAACTCATGGGGCCCCCGGGCAATAGGGGATAATGGGGCCCCTGTGTCCTTGCCCAAACTCAAAAAAGCCTATGAAAAAGGTACCGGGGCATCTCATGGGGCCCCCTACTGACCCCGGGCCCTCGGGCAGTGCCCGAGTTTACAAATGGTCCAAAAGTCCGCCCCTGATTGTTACTGTAGAAAAGGAAGTGTAAGGCTCAAAAAGGGGAATCAACAAGATGGCTTCGGCCTTACTCTACCCAAGCCATTGTCCTTGGCGTCTCTTCCCTTCCAGTATATGCAGCTTCCCCCCCCCACTGCATCTATGGAGAAGCAGCGTTGTCACCGTAGAAAAGGAGGTGTAAGGATTGGTTCACACTAGCTTTGTAAGCAGGCGTTGGAGGGGCGTTTTTACCGCTCCCCAAACACCTATAAAAAGGATACTAAGGGCAGCATTAGCGTCGCGTCAAAATTGAAGCCTCATGTCCAGTCAGGAGGATCTGAAGCCTTTCAACGCCTCTCATTCAAGTCTATGGTGACGCTTCTCAAAACGCAGGGCGTCTGCAAGGCGCTAATACCATTACGTTTATTATAGGCGTTTGTAGTGCGGTTTTAACGCTTGTAAAATGCCTCAAAGACGCACATAGGGCGTTTGGGGAGCATTTTTAAAGTGGAGCTCCACCCAAAAGGGGAAGTTCCGCTTTAAGCCTTTGTCCCCTGCTCCCCATTAAGGATTTGGGGAGCTGGGGGTGTTGGAGGGGGTACCCGAATTTGACAGCTGCCCACTCCCATTCATTTCCGCTGCGATCGACTAGGCGATTGAAAGCGCAAGTTGTCCTCTCTCCCTCCCAGTACTCTTGTGGGACACATGACAGGTCCCAGAAGACTACGGGGCCATTCACAAAGTGCATCGCTTCCCGCACATGTGCAGTGGGCACCCGGCTGTGAAGCCGCAAGCAGTCACAGCCGGGTGCCCACACTGAAGATACCGGGGAGAGAAACCAGAGGTGGTGAGGACATCACGGAACCGAGGGACAGGTAAGTGGCTGTATTTTAAAAGTCAGCAGCTACAGTTTTTGACTGCTCTCCCGCTCCCCATTAAGGATTGGCACCTTTGGGGGGGCAGGAGGGGAGCGGGTATCCGAATTTGACAGGTACCCGCTCCCATGACTGGTCCGATCGCTTAGGCGAAGGTGTCCTCCCTCCTTCCCTCTCTCCCTGTAGTCTTTTGGGACACGTGACAAGTCCCAGAAGACTACGGGGCCATTCACAAAGTGCATCGCTTCTCGCACATGTGCAGTGGGCACCCGGCTGTGAAGCCGCAAGCAGTCACAGCCGGGTGCCCACACTGAAGATACCGGGGAGAGAAGACGGCCGGTGAAACCAGAGGTGGTGAGGACATCACGGAACCGAGGGACAGGTAAGTGGCTGTATTTTAAAAGTCAGCAGCTACAGTTTTTGAAAGTTAATCTCCAAACACGGAAAGGTTTCTTCACAGTGAGAGCTGTGAAAACGTGGAATAGACTCCCTCAAGAGTTGGTTGTGGCCAGCTCAGTGGATTGCTGTAGGAAAGTCCTGGATCCTTTCTTGGATACACAGAATATAACTGGATATAACATTTATAGGTAAAGTTGATCCAGGGAATATCCGATTGCCTCTCGGGGGATCAGGAAGGAATTTTTTTCCCTGCAGGAGCAAATTGGATCGTGCTTTGCTGGGTTTTCTGCCTTCCTCTGGATCAACTGTGGGTGTAGGATTATAACTTTTTTTTTTAATGGTTGAACTGGATGAACTTTTGTCTTTTTTCAGCCAGACTAACTATGTAACTATGTACTTCTTCATTAGGGCTCTAGGCTAGTTGGACTAGGATGGTGAACTCAAAGGAGTTAACTAAATCTTTTGACTCCATTAAGTCAACTATCCTATTGTCAGTCTGGAAAACATACCTTATTCTGTATTTATTTTAGATACTTCATTATTCCCACTAATTTCATAGCAACTCATTTTACTACTTTGAGTCCTTTCAAGTTTACATTTAACATCAAGGCCCTGATGAAGAGGGATTGTGCTGACTACCGGGTGCTGCAGGTATACACAGGCAAACTGGATCGTGCTTTGCTGGGTTTTTTTTGCCTTCCTCTGGATCAACTGTGGGTGTAGGATTATAATTTTTTTTTTAATGGTTGAACTGGATGGACTTTTGTCTTTTTTCAGCCAGACTAACTATGTAACCCCGGTAATTCCTACACACAAGTGCAGGAGGCTAAGGAGCCTGTCCATTGACTGCGTATCATATCCTGGAAAGGAAGAAACACCTCCGCACACCAACCCGGCCCAAAAGGTGAATCAACAAGATGGCTTCAGCCTTACTCTACCCAAGCCATTCTCCCTGGCTTTTCTTCCTTTCCAGTATATGCAGCTTTCCCCCCCAACTTAGGAAAACTGAAGGCAGCGGCTGCTGTCAGGTGACTGTCAACTACGAGTTTAAAATAAAAGGTAATAGCTGTAATCCATATTTTTTTTAATAATTAGAACTGGGAACTCAACATAATTGTGTGATTCCCATTTCCTGGCCTAATATATATTTTAACTGATCAAAAGACAGCAAATAAGAGAAGATGATGGTTAGGATTTCTATACAATTCAAGATCAGGTATAATCAGCGATATTTAAAGCGGTATTTGATAGAGTGGCTTCATTAGTTTTCTTTTTTTCAATCATTTTTTTTCTTTATTTCTGTGGATCCTGCCAGTAACACAATACCTGTCCTCGGTTGACAACACTTATTCATACTGTTATCTATAGAGGAACAGCGTTGTCACCCATGGGCAGACGTAAGGACTACACAACAAACCCCCCCCCCCCCCCTCATCAAAGCTCCTAACATAGTGGGAGTCATTCTGTAGTCCACTGAGAGAACTGGGAACAATATAACTGAAAACAGAGCAAAGGAAGTTATCTGGATCAACAGGTATTTCTTGGTACTTAAAGCGGAGTTCCACTCACGCTGTCAAAAAATAAAAGTCAGCAGCTACAAAAACTGTAGCTGCTGACTTTTAAAAAACAGCCCCTTACCTGTCCCTCGGTCCCACGGTGTGTCCCCCGCAGCCCGTTTCACCAGCCGTCCTGTATTCCAGGCCGGCATCTTCAGTGTGGGCACCCGGCTGTGACAGCTTGCGGCTTCACAGCCGGGTACCCACTGCACATGTGCGAGTAGCACTGCACTTCATGAATGGTCCTGTAGTCTTCTGGGACCTGTCACGTGTCCCAAAAGACTACAGGGAGGGAGGACACCTTCGCCTAGGCGAGAACTTATTTGGATTGTACGAATGCAGTGGGGATAATTAAAGCGTAAGCTCCTCTGGAGCAAAAAACATGTCACAGCTATTGTGCTAGGTAGTGGTGAGTCCCTATCACCCATGACAATGAAGGCCAATTATAATGAATTGCTTTCTAGTTGTTAATCAAGTCCCGCCTCACCTGTGTGCCAGTTCAAGCTCTTTTACTGCATTCAATACTTCTTTCAAGTTACTCTTCTCATCCTTCAGTATGGACGTTGCAAGTCTCTGGAGCACCAGGGCCACATTGAACATGAGGACAGTGTCATTGGGCGCACATGCCGAGCCTGCAGGTTTAAGCAGATGGGATGTGAGCACAACAAGCTGCAATGCGTTGTCCACAGGAGATCCTGGGAAGCCTAATGTGATTTACCAAATGACAACTTTCCTAGGAGGTTTTCCTTAGGAGGTAACCAAGTGGCAGGTTACCCAATAGTACCTTACCAAATGTATCCCCTCTAGTAATCAATCATAACCAATGCAGGTTACCAATGTTATAACACGCATGAGGCCATCAGCATTACAGCAAACATGCCCTGAATGTGGGCGATTCAGACCAAGCACAAAATGAAAAATTCGAGGTCATGTTCAGTAAAACTGCATGTCAAAATAACCAGTAGATAGATGCAGAGATATAGACAATCATTACCTTCAGGAGGATCTGCTTGCACTCCTGCAACTTGCCGCATTTGAAGAGTGCTCTGGCCAGGTACAGCAGGACCTCCGTGTTTCTGGTGTTTGTAGAACTTGCGCAGACAGTTTTCATACTAAAAAGAGGGGGGAAAGTGGTTGGTAATGTAGGGGGGGCACGAGTTTGGAGAGAGAGAGCGAGAAGGGGAGGAGGAGGAGGAGAAGGAGGAGGGGGGATAGAGAGAGAGAGAGAGAAGGGAGTGAGAGAGGGGATGAGAGAGAGAAGAGGGGGAGGGGGAGGGGAGAGAGAGAGGAGAGGGGAGGGGAGAGAGAGAGAAGGGGGGAGGGGGAGAGAGAGAGAAGGGGATGAGGAGAGCGAGAGAGAAGGGGGGGAGGGAGAGAGAGGGAGGGGGAGGGAGGGAGAGAGAGAGGGAGGAGGGAGGGTAGAGAGAGAGGGGGGGGGAGAGAAAGAGAGGGGGAAAGGGAGAGAAAGAGAGGGGAAGGGAGAGAAAGAGAGGGGGAAGGGAGAGAAAGAGGGGGAAGGGAGGGAGAGAAGAGAGGGGGAAGGGAGAGAAAGAGGGGAGGAAGGGAGAGAGAGGGAGAGGGGGAAGAGGAGAGAAAGAGGAGGGGGGAGGGAGAGAGAAGAGGGGGGGGAGGAGGAAGGGAGAGGGAGAGGGAGGAGAGGGGAGGGAGGGAGAGGAGAGGGGAGGGAGGGAGAGGGGGAGGAAGAGGAAGGGAGGGAGGAAGGAGGGAGGAAGAGGGGGAGGGAGGGGGAGGAAGGGGAGGCAGAGGGGAGGAGAGGGAGGGAGGGGAGGGGGAGGAAGGAAGGGGGAGGAAGAGGGAGGGAGAGATGGGGGGAAGAGGGGGGGGGGGAGAGGAGAGGAGGGGGGGGAGGGGGGGGGGGGAGGCGGGGAGGGAGAGAGGGGGGAGGAGGTAGAGGAAGAGGAAGAAGGAGGGAAGAGAGGGAGGAAGAGGAAGGGGGGGGGGAGGAAGAGGGGGGGAGGGAGGAAGAGAGGGGGGGAGGGAGGAAGAGGGGGGGAGGGAGGAAGAGGGGGGGGGGGAGGGAGAGGGGGGGGAGGGAGGAAGAGGGGGGGAGGGAGAGGGGAGGGGGGAGGGAGAGGGAGAGGGGGGGGGAGGGAGAGGGGGGGGGGGAGAGGAGAGGGGGAGAGGGAGAGGGAGGAGGGGGGAGGGAGAGAGAGGAGGGGGGAGGGAGAGGGGGGGAGGGAGAGGGAGAGGGGGGGAGAGAGGGAGAGAGGGAGAGGAGAGGAGAGGGGAGGAGAGGAGAGAGGGGAGGGAGAGAGGGGGGGAGAGGGAGGGGAGGGGAGGAGGGAGAGGGGAGGGGGAGGGAGAGGAGAGAGAGAGGGGAGGGGAGAGAGGGGAGGGAGAGGAGGGGAGAGAGAGGGAGAGGGGGAGGGAGAGGGGGAGGGAGAGGGGGAGGGAGAGGGGGGGAGAGAGAGGGAGAGGGGGAGGGAGGGGGGGGAGAGAGAGGGAGAGGGGGAGGGAGAGGGGGAGAGAGAGGGGAGGGGGGGAGAGAGGGAGAGGGGGAGGGAGAGGGAGAGGGAGAGGAGAGGGAGGAGAGAGGGAGAGGAGAGGGGGGAGGGGGGGAGGGAGAGGGAGAGGGAGAGGGGGGAGGGAGAGGGAGAGGGGGAGGGAGAGGGAGGGGGGAGGGAGAGGGAGAGGGAGAGGGAGAGGGGGAGAGGGAGAGGGAGAGGGAAGAGGGAGAGGGAGAAGGGGGAGGGAGAGGGAGAGGGGGGAGGGAGAGGGAGAGGGGAGGGGAGAGGGAGAGGGGGAGGGAGAGGGAGAGGGGGAGGGAGAGGAGAGAGGGGGAGGGAGAGGGAGAGGGGGAGGGAGAGGGGGAGGGGGAAGATAATATATACATATTGTAAAAGTAAAAGAAAAAAATGAAAGAGGTGGGGGAGAGAGGAAGAGAGAAAAAAAGAAAGAAACATAGCTAGATACAGAGGTCACTTGTGTTTGTAGTGTTTGGTTGGACATACCCATTTGCACAGCACTAATGAACTGTTTCTGCTCCACGTAGATGTGCGCCAAGTTTAACCAAACGTCGCTAATATCCGCCGTTGCCTCTCTGACTTGAGCAAATACGTCACGGGCCTCACGGACATAACCTTTGTGCGCCAAGACAGCTCCTAAACAAAGGACAACCCTTCCGGCTCAGATTCAGATTTTTTTATCCACAAGGATTATATCAGACACAAAACAGTAATATACGCAGCAGATTGGGTCAGACAGATGCAGACAAGCAGATGTTGTGGCAGACCAGGCCTTACCCTCAGAAACCTGCACATTGCACAGAACAAGCACAGAGACCAGGACATACCGCAGAGACCAGGACATTCCATTGGCTGCATAGAGATTCTTGGAGTCGTTCCTGAGCACCTGCTTGTATATCGCCAACGCACGATCTTGGTGGCGCTTTTCCTAAATGGGGAAAAAAAAATGTAAAATCCACACTATACGCATCAACTGACAGAAAAGCCCTCCTACAGCAAATTATACATGTTGACTTTATGGTCATGGGTTGCAGTCCACAATGCATTCAAATCCCAGCCACTTTACAAGCTGCCCGCCCAGAACCCCACCTTCAAATATTCAAGAACCGCCCATCACATATACTTTGCTTCCAATCAGATCTTGCCTCTAAATACCGGGACCACCGGCTCCCAGTCCGACCCCCACAATGAATGTGGTCAGGGATCCTGCCGCCGTGTAACGGATCTCACCGGGTCACGGCAGTGCGAGCGTCACGCGGGAGCGTGCGGGCGCGCAGAGCGCGCGGAGCGTGCGGGGGCCGCCGTGTATACGGATATTCCTCGGCGTCACGGCAGTGCGTATTGGGCGCAGGCGGAGGTGAGAGGTGCGCGAGGGCGGGTGCTTGTGGCGCGCATGCGCGGGGAGCATACACGTCACCGCAAGGCGGGCTATTTAAACCTGCAATACAGTGTAATCAATGCCTTCTGGTCTATAACGTCCTGCACTCCATAACCTGATTCTGTTGCCTGTATCCTGATCTGACCTGTCTAAAAAAAGAACTCCGCCTGCACCGACCCGGCTATCCCTGACTATCCGCTTGCCTGCTCCCTTGTACTTGATTTGCTTGTTTGATCCTGACCCGGCTTGTCTGACTCTTCTGCACCTACTTACCTGTATCTGCACCTGGCTTGTATCCTGATTGCTGCCATACTTACCTGCTGCTGCACCCACGGTCCTGTGTCCCAGTCCCAGTCTGCATCCCGATTGCCTCCATACCTCCCTGCTGCTGCACCTACGTTCCTGCATCCGCACCGGACCTGCATCCGGAATCTCCTGGGTCTCCGGACCTACCTGCCGCCACCGGACCTCCGCCACCTACCTGCCGCCAGCTCCAGACACTACCCAGCACTCGTGCCACTCCTGGCTCTGCACCCTCTGTTCCCACTATCAGGGGCTCCGAAGCGGGAGTAGTAAGAGGACGCCTCCTCTCGACGTCAGGCTCCCAACCAGGAACGTGTCAGAATGTCTTTTGAGTTACTGCGTATATGGCAGCCCAAAGAAGGTTGATGCTGTGATGCCAAGACAGCATCTGTGGGACCGAAGGCCAAGACGTGAGACTGTCCTGGCAAATACAGGACCGTTGCCATCTATGTGACTTTGACATCCTGAAAACCGAATGATACAATTTTGCCCCAAGACTAAGACCACCAAGACTGCTACAGACCTTTTCTCGGTCACGGTTGGTTGATGTAATGTCTGCAGCCAAACGTTGCCCAGAGCCAACATAGAGGTGTCATTCTGTGTGGAACGGCTTCCCCATTCCTGCTTCGCCAAGTGCAAGTTCCCAATCAGAGACCAAGCGTCAGGATGATCCTGAAAAACCCAGAAAAATGGAAGTCAGTCACTTAAAAAGTGGAACATTGCCAATAACAACTTGATAAAAAAATAATGTTCTTTAGCCGGGAACATACATTCTATAGGAATAAATTATGCTACCGAAATTTGTCTGTGCTGTAAATTGTCTCCAGCGTTGCTCCTGTTTCTTCTTGCTGGAGGCGGCCATTTTGTTGAAGCCCCTGAACAGCAGTAAATCATAAAGCGGAGCTAAATCCATCACTCTAATGGTTTCAAATAACAGTTACATTCCTGGAATAAGGATTGCTAACTGTCTTATTTGCTTCAACCTCAACCATGCTGTCAAATCATCAAATGGCTGCTGTCATAAGTGATCACATGGGCAGCACCATAGCATTTGCAGATCAAGCAGAAGCAGCTTCCTTGGCTGTAAAGGATAGGAGGGTTCAATTATGCTTTCAAGCTGTCGGCAGATTGGCCTCTACAAATTTGGCAGTGCCTAAAAATGGAGAGTAAGTAACTGAGCATGTGCAGAGCAGGGTGAGACAGTGTATACAGTATAGACTCTTTTTAACCACTTGTCTCCCGGGCACTTTTACCCCCTTCCTGCCCAGGCCTTTGAATGAAAATTGTACGGTCATGCAACACTGTACTCATATGAAATTTGTATAATTTTTTGAGACAGATAGAGCTTTCTTTAGTGGTATTTAATCACCTCCTAGATTGCAAGCTCCAAGGATCAGGGACCTCCTATCCCTCTTGTATTGAACTGTATTGTTGCTGTATTGTCTCCCGTTATATTGTAAAGCGCTGAGCAAACTGTTGGCGCCATATAAATCCTGTATAATAATAATATAACATCTGGCTTTTTTATTTTTTGCTAAACAAACCAAAAACAACTGACATTTAAAAAAAAAAAAAAAGTTTTTTCTTACTTTGTTATAAAATTTTGTAAATAAGTATTTTTTCTCCTTCACTGATGTGCGCTAATGAGGCTGCAGTGATGGGCACTGATGTGGAGGTACTGGTAGGTGGCACTGATGGGCATTGACAGGCATCACTGATGGGCACTGAAAGGCAGCAATGATAGGTGGCACTGACAGGTGACACAGACTAGCAGCACTGTCACTGATAGTTGGCACTGAAAGGCAGCTCAGATGGGCACTGATATGTGGCATTGATGTGCACTGGTAGGCACTATGTACCATTGATGGGCACTGGTAGGCACTGATATGTGTCATTGATGGGCACTGACTGGTGGCACTGCTGGGGCTACACTGATCATCAGGACACTGATCCTCAGTGCCCTGATCAGTTTACATGTTCCCTCTGCGGAATGCCAATTACAGGCTCTCCTCTCCGCACGAGCTGTCAGCATGACAGCTCGTGAGGAGAGGAATGCCGATAACCGGCATTTCCTTATTTACATGCGATCAACTGTGATTGGACACAGCTGATCACATGACAGAGCTGACGCCATTGGCTATTTCCGCTGATCGGTGATCCGCTGTGTCTCAGGGACACAGCACACCACCAATCGCCCCGCTGTGTACCCCCAGGGGCATGCACGCGCGGTTAGAGTGGGAGGACGTCATATGACATCCTCCCAGAACGTGATTTCCTTATATGGCGGGCGGGAGGCAGTTAATGCATAACAAAGCTATACCTGCAAAAGGGGCCGGACTGAAGTGAACAAGCAGGACTTAACTTTCTGACTAGAGTTCCACTTTAACAGATCTTAGGCCCGGCCGTAACACAGATTACCTGTCAAGGAATTTGAGTTTACCTGATTGATCTGCAGGGCTTCCTTAAACCAGTCTGAAGCCTCATAGAAGTTTCCTTTGTCTCGAGCCATCGCGCCAAGACGCAGGTAACCTGATAAGAGAACACAAATCTTGTTTAGCTGAAGAACACAAAGACGCAAACAAAAAATGTTTTTGGACTTAATAGACTTTTACCCCATTCTTCTCCCACCTGTCGTCATTAAAGCTCAACTCCAGCCACAATTAAAATATTTTTTTTGCCTGTTCCTGGTAGTCCCAATGTTTCAGGTATCTTTTCCCTAGTTCCTTGTGCTTGATGTTGTGTTGCACCCAGTACTGTCCATTATATGTGTAGTGCCTCGTTATTGGCGTCGGTGGGAGGAACGGTGCCTCGCCATTGGCGTCGGTGGGAGGAACGGTGCCTCGCCAATGGCGTCACTGGGAGGAACGCCGCCTCGCCATTGGCGTCGCTGGGAGGAACGCCGCCTCGCCATTGGCGTCGCTGGGAGGAACGCCGCCTCGCCATTGGCGTCGCTGGGAGGAACGCCGCCTCGCCATTGGGCGTCGCTGGGAGGAACGCCGCCTCGCCATTGGCGTCGTGGGAGGAACGCCGCCTCGCCATTGGCGTCGGTGGAACGCCGCCTCGCCATTGGCGTCGGTGGGAGGAACGCCGCCTCGCCATTGGCGTCGGTGGGAGGAACGCCGCCTCGCCATTGGCGTCGTGGGAGGAACGCCGCCTCGCCATTGGCGTCGCTGGGAGGAACGCCGCCTTGCCATTGGCGTCGCTGGGAGGAACGCCGCCTCGACATTGGCGTCGGTGGGAGGAACGCCGCCTCGACATTGGCGTCGGTGGGAGGAATGCCGCCTCGACATTGGCGTCGGTGGGAGGAACAGTGCCCGCATCATTGGTCGTTAGTGGGAGGAATAGTGCCCCATCATTGGTCTTAGCGGGGAGGAATAGTGCCCCATCATTGGTCTTAGCGGGAGGAACAGTGCCCCATCATTGGGTATAGGGAGGAACAGTGCCCCATCATTGGTATCAGTGGGAGGAATAGTGCCCCATCATTGGTATCAGTGGGAGGAATAGTGCCCCATCATTGGTATCAGTGGGAGGAATAGTGCCCCATCATTGGTATCAGTGGGAGGAATAGTGCCCCATCATTGGTATCAGTGGGAGGAATAGTGCCCCGTCATTGGTATCAGTGGGAGGAATAGTGCCCCGTCATTGGTATCAGTGGGAGGAATAGTGCCCCATCATTGGTGTCAGTGGGAGGAATAGTGCCCCATCATTGGTCTTAGCAGGAGGAATAGTGCCCCATCATTGGTCTTAGCAGGAGGAATAGTGCCCCATCATTGGTATCAGCAGGAGGAATAGTGCCCCATCATTGGTGTCAGTGGGAGGAATAGTGCCCCAGCAATGGTATCAATGGAAGAAAAAAAGTGCCCCATCACTGGTCTTAGCAGGAGGAATAGTGCCCCATCATTGGTGTCAATTGGAGGAATATTGTCTCAAGGGCCGGATAGAAATAAGCAAAGTGCCGCATCTGGCCCCTGGGCTGCAGTTTGGAGACCACTGATGAAGTCCATGAGTGGACGCCTAACGCTCCTGCATAATGTGAGGCTGACGTTTAGTTCCACCTTTTGACAGACCCTGTTTTCCGAGATCATATGACTGAAGGATTTAGGCCACATTGCAGAGGACTCCATTAGTTGGGGGGGGGGGGGGGGGGGGGGGGCATGGGGTATAGGATGCATAGTTTTAGATTGTAAGCTCGAAAGAGCAGGGCCCTCGAACCCCTTGTGTATCACATTGTATTGGTATTCTTCTGTCACATGTTCTGTCCCCCTTTGTAATGTACAGCGCTGAGCGAACTATTGGCGCTTTATAAATACTGAATAATAATAATAATAATATTAGTTTTAGGCATAATGAAGCTGTGCTTTAAAAGACAAGTTCACCAAGTTACAAAACAAAGGTTAAAAGATATGTATTTTTTTTTTTGTGTCATGCGATTTGAATGGTTTGAAAATCGCATCAGTGCTAATGGGGAGGTTTTGGACCATTACAACCATTGCTCATTCCAAAGACCACCATCTCTCCCTTCTTACTCGAATATCTTCATCCTCTCCTCCTTAGCACTCATGATATTCTTGAAGACCCCTGATTGCAGTTTGCCCTTTGTTTACATGTTGGAAGTGCTGCTATACATCCGTGTCTGCACAGTGGAGTACATGTAATGGTTTCTGTCCAGGTTTGGCAAAATGTCATAATTTGGACTTTACACAAAATTTGAAAGGTAACTACACCAGTTAGGCCACCACTTACAGTCCACGTAGTTTGGATGTTCTCTTAGAATGTTCTTATAGAGTTTCTCCGATTCGTGAAATTCGCACAGAGCCTCAAACAACCTGGCCAGGTTGTAGGTGGTGGTGACGGAAATGGCGCTGTAATAATGTTCATCGTGTTCGGCTTCTGCTTTGGCGCGGTCCAAGGAGGCCAAGAAATATTTCTGCAAAACAGGATTACTACCAAATGATTACCGGTGACAGCTTGTCTCTATAGATAGTTACTCAAGTAATTAATTATTATATTATTATACAGTATTTATATAGCGCCAAACCGTTTGCTCAGCGCTGTACATTACAATGGGAGAGAATACATGAGACAGTACAATAACAATACAATGCAATACACGAGGGGTTTGAGGGCCCTGGTTCTTGGAGCTTACAATCTAGGAGGGAGGGGATGGTGGTACAGGAGGAAAAGCTGTGGGGGATGGAGTGGTAGGAAAGTGGAGGAGATCGGCAATTAGCAGGGGGCGGGGTAGGCTTCCCTGAAGAGGTGGGTTTTCAGGGTGCGCCTAAAGGAGAGGAGAGTAGGTGATAGTCTGATGGATTGGGGTAGGGAGTTCCAGAGGATGGGTGATGCCCTGGAGAAGTCCTGGAGACGGGCATGGGAGGAGGAGACCAGGGAACTAGAGAGGAGGTGGTCTTGTGAGGAGTGGAGAGTACTTTTTGGGTGGTATTTGGATATTAGGTCGGTGATGTAGTTTCGGGCAGTATTATGGACAGCTTTGTACGTCAGTGTTAGCATTTTGAATTTGATCCGTTGGGCAGTCGGAAGCCAGTGGAGGGATTGGCAGAAACGGAGTGGTAATCTCAGGTCATATTCACTTTGATCGCGATGAGAGCCAATTACACGATTAGATTGTTCTCCCTCCCTGGACAATCCCGAATCCAACATATCTCACGTTGCTTCGTTTCTCTTCAACTCCCTTCTATGTGGCATTAAGCACTCTCGCCAAGACCTCAAAAATTCATCTTTTCTGAAAGTTCTTTTTTGTATCTGTGAACCATATTTTTTGCTCCATAAGACGCACTTTTTCCTCCCAAAAAATGGGGGGAAACAGGGGCGGACTGACCATTTGGAAACTCGGGCACTGCCCGAGGGCCAGGGGTCAGTACGGGCCCCATGAGATGCCCCTGGTACCTTTTTCATAGGCTTTTTTGAGTTTGGGCAAGGACACAGGGGCCTCATGATCCCCTATTGCCCAGGGGCCCCATGAGTTGTCAGTCCGCCCCTGGGGGGAAATGTCTGTGCATCTTATGGAGCGAATATGGAGTGGCCGGCCCGGTATTCCCCTTGTCGATGCCGTGTTAGAATACCGGGCCGGCCGCTCGGCTCTACTGTGCAGAACTTACTCCTCGGTCCTACCTGTTCCTCGGTCCAGTGGTGTCCTCATCACCTCATCATCTTTAGTGTGGGCACCCAGCTGTGACAGCTTGCGGCTTCACAGCCGGGTGCCCACTGAGCATGTGCGAGAAGCACTGCGCTTCATGAATGGTCCTGTAGTCTTCTGGGACCTGTCACGTGTCCCAGAAGACTACAAGGAGAGAAGTGGGAGCGGGTACCTGTCAAAGGAGAAATGATTACTTTTAAAGCCTTAATGGGTGTAAAAGCAATCAGTGTAAAAAAAAAAAAATCTTCATCATCCCCCACAAGTAGTACAGTGTCACTATGGTAAAAAAAAAAAAAAAAATTAAAAAAAAAAAAAAAAAAAAATATATAATTTTTTTTTTTTTTTTTATAAACTGATTTGGGTATTTTTTTTTTTTTTTTTTTACAAAAAAGATAGCTGTTTAAGGGTGTAAAAGCAATCAGAAAAAAAAAAAATCATCATCCCCCACAAGTAGTACAGTGTCACTATGGTAAAAAAATAAAAAAAAAAAATAAAAAAAAAATAATTTTATTTATTTTTTATAAACTGATTTGGGTTTTTTTTTTTTTACAAAAAGATAGCCGTTTATGGGTGTAAAAGCAATCAGAGTAAAAAAAAAATCATCATCCCACACAAGTAGTACAGTCACTATGTCACTATTTGGTGACACTGTACTGCTAGGGTCACTATGGTGACAGTATGTAAATGTAAAAAAAAAAAAAAAATAATAAAAAAATATAAAAAAAAAATTAAGAAATTTTTTTTTCGTTAAACTGATCTGGGTTATTTTTTTTACAAAAAGATAGCTGAATACATTTTGGTCAAGATTTATGAAGAAAGATTCTTTATTTGTAAATTTTTATAAGAAAAACACTTTTTTTCAAAATGTTTGGTCTTTTTCACTTATATAGCAAAAAAATAAATATCAGAGTGGTGAATAATTACCACCAAAAGAAAGTTTTATCTGTCCCAAGAAAATGCTAAAATTTCATTTGAGTTTAGTGTTGCATGACCGCGCGATTGTCAAAGTGTGACAGCGTTGAAGGCTGCAAATTGGCCTGGGCAGGAAGGGGGTGAAAGTGTCTTGAAGTGGACTTGAAGTGGTTAAAACACAAGACTTTAGTATCACTTTAAGGCAGGGGTTCCTCCAAGGGCCTGTGGACCCCCTCCAGCTGTTAAAGTACTACAAGTCCCATCCCCCCCCCATCCAGTCCGGACACGGACGCTTTCACTTTCCCCCCCTTCCAGTCCGGACGCTTTCCCCCCCTTCCAGTCCGAACGCTTTCCCCCCCTTCCAGTCCGACACTTTCCCCCACTTCCCCCCCCACTTCCAGTCCGAACGCTTTCCCCCCCTTCCAGTCCGGACGCTTTCCCCCCCCCTTCCAGTCCGCTTTCCCCCCTTCCTGTCCGGACACTTTCCCCCCCTTCCAGTCCGGACGCTTTCCCCCCCCTTCCAGTCCGGACGCTTTCCCCCCCTTCCAGTCCGGACTTTCCCCCCCTTCCAGTCCGGACGCTTCCCCCCCTTCCAGTCCGGACGCTTTCTCCCCCCAGTCCGGACGCTTTCCCCCCCCGGTCCGGACGCTTTCACCCCCTTCCAGTCCGGACGCTTCCAGTCACGCCCCTTTCAGTCCGGACGCTTTCACCCCCTTCCTGTCCAGGCCATTTTTCAGCTTTCAGCGCTATCACACTTTGAATGACAATTGCGCAGTCATGCAACACTGTACCCATGTGAATTTTTTTAGCATTTTTTGAGACAGATAAAACTTTATTTTGGTGGTATTTATTCACCGCTGGGATTTTTATTTAATTTTGCTATATAGATGAAAAAGTACAAAAATTTTGGAAAAAAAAAAAAAGTGTTTTTCTTATAACATTTTGCAAATAAATAATCTTTCTTCATAAATCTTGGCCAAAATGTATTTCGTTATCTTTTTAGTATAAAAAAAAAAAAAAAAAAAATGTTGGTTATAACCGAAAATTATAATTTTTAAACTTTTTTTTACATTTTTATTTTATTTTTTTACATTATTTATTTTTTTTTTACACACATACTGTCACCCTAGCAGTACAGTGGCACCATGGTGACACTGTACTACTTGTGGGGGGTGATGAAGATTTGTTTATAAACTGATTGCTTTTACATTCTGCATTCTTGCAGCCATTGAGAAATACTGTGCGAGCTGATTGATCACAGCTTGTCACATGGTGCAAGGCTGTTGTGAATAGCCCTGTACCATGTGACCTCTGTGATCATTCACAGATTTCACACATAGTAAGCAATGATGTCAGAAGTGATATCTTGCTTACTACTCTTCATGTGATCACTGATTGGCCAATCAGTGATCACATGATCGGGACCTCACACAGAGGTCCTGTACAACGAACGGTGTTCCACTGTGTCTGGAGGACACAGCGGGCACCAGATCGCGGTGCTGCGTGCTCACAGGGAGCGCGCACAAGCAGGGGGCGGGGAGGCCATTTATAAACAGCCACCCGACCCTGCACTGCCACCGTCCGTTTATATACATGGGCCGGACAGGAAGTGGTTAAAAAGAAAATGACAATACCTTAGCTTCACCCAGGTTTCCCAGGCGGAAATGAAGAGCGCCCACATTATTCAGAATCTCTGGAGGGACGTCCGCTTGCACCTTCTCCTGTAGAATCCTCGTTGCTGTGCCGTATGCAGACAAGGCATTCTATAGAAACAAAATGGTTGGTTCCACATCCAAGATACACACCAGGGAATTTACAGGAACCAAAAAAAAAAACCCCCAAAAAAAACCCATCTTCACCTGTATGTCCGTCTGCTCCAAAATCTGTGCAAGCTCAATCCAAGCCTCCACGTCGTCGGGGTACTGCTCTGTGACCTTCTTCAGGTGGCTCTGTCACCACAAGAGACATTGGATTATTCACAAAACTCTACATTTTCCTCAATGTATACCATAACAGAGAAATGATCAGAAAAACCTTTGCAGTGTCGCGTTTCTCCTGGTCATCGGAGCCGGCGTACAGCGATCCCAGAATCTTCATGGTCTCGTAGTTATTGGGATAGGCCTTCAGGACTTTTTCAAAGCATTGTGCCGCATTCTCCTTATCCCCTCGGTAAATATACATTTGGCCCAAGCCGAAGAACGGTAGGACAAAAGAGGCCGCGGCGAACTGTGTGGCCTGATAGTAGTACTGAAACGCCTGGTCGTAGTCCTCCTAGATATGAGAGACAACACAAGAGCCATCAGAAATGACAGGGATGAGGCCTGGAGCACAGGCGAGACGGGGGACGGCAGGGGAGTTCTAGAGCAAGCAAATGGATAGTATGTGAATCATTCATTTGCATCAACAACTTTATTTCCCTAGATTGTCCATTGCTAGTCAGTTTTTGTACTAATTCCTCAAATTTGCATATAAAAACAAAATGAGCAAGCAGGCCGTGTACACAGAAACTCATTTTAGAGGTAGGGATGTCAAACTGAATGTCATTGCGGGCCGCATCAGCAGTATGGTCACCCTCAAAGAACCAGGTTGTATCTGGGGTGTGCAATGTACAGACCCCCGGGTGTCCCCTCTGCAGTCGGGACCCTGGGGCGTCCCCTCTGCAGTCCGGCCCCGTGGGCGTCTCCTCTGCAGTCCGGCCCCGTGGGCGTCTCCTCTGCAGTCCGGCCCCGTGGGCGTCTCCTCTGCAGTCCGGCCCCGTGGGCGTCTCCTCTGCAGTCCGGCCCCGTGGGCGCCTCCTCTGCAGTGGCCCGTGGGCGCCCCCGTGGGCGTCCTCCTCTGCAGTCCGGCTCCCAGAGTGGCCCGTGGGCGCTCTCCTCTGCAGTCCGGCCCGTGGGCGTCTCCTCTGCAGAGTGGCCCCGTGGGCGCCTCCTCTGCAGTGGCCCGTGGGCGCCTCCCTCTGCGTGGCCCCGTCTCCTCTGCAGTCCGGCCCCGTGGGCGCTCTCCAGAGTCTGTCCTCTGAGTGGCCTCACGGTGTCTCCTCTGCGTTGTGGCCCCTGTGATCTCCCCATTCAGGGCCCACACTGAGGAATGTCCTCCATCTATCTTCCCTCCTCCAGGAATGGTCAGGTCTCTCAGACTCCATTTGGAGCGATTTCTGCCTTAACCGCTTCCCGGCCGCCTTATAGCAGAAATACTGCTACAGGGCGGCGCGGTTGCACAAAATCATGTATATATATATGATTTTGCTTTTCCGGGTAGGGGGCGGCATGCTCCCTACCCACGCCGCCATTTGTGGCTATGGCTGTCAATCTCCGGGTCCCGGCTGATGATTACTCATTGGCGCCTGGTGATTGCAGAGGATCTCCGACAGTGAGGAAAACTGTTTTGTTTACCAACAGTCCTCCTCCCTGTCAGCTCGGGCACACTGAAAGGCACAGCCACCCAGAGCAGTGTGATTACAGTAAAGCACACTGACAGCGCCCCACAGTAAAAACACACCCAGCCCAGTGCCCCATCATTGGCACTGGAGGGAGGAGCAGTGCCCCATCACTGGTATTGGTGGGAGGAGCAGTGCCCCATCACTGGTATTGGTGGGAGGAGCAGTGCCCCATCACTGGTATTGGTGGGAGGAGCAGTGCCCCATCACTGGTATTGGTGGGAGGAGCAGTGCCCCATCACTGGTATTGGTGGAAGGAGCAGTGCCCCATCACTGGTATTGGTGGAAGGAGCAGTGCCCCATCACTGGTATTGGTGGAGGAGCAGTGCCCCATCACTGGTATTGGTGGGAGGAGCAGTGCCCCAATCACTGGTATTGGTGGGAGGAGCAGTGCCCCATCACTGGTATTGGTGGGAGGAGCAGTGCCCCATCACTGGTATTGGTGGGAGGAGCAGTGCCCAATCACTGGTATTGGTGGGAGGAGCAGTGCCCAGTCACTGGTATTGGTGGGAGGAGCAGTGCCCAGTCACTGGTATTGGTGGGAGGAGCAGTGCCCAGTCACTGGTATTGGTGGGAGGAGCAGTGCCCAGTCACTGGTATTGGTGGGAGGAGCAGTGCCCAGTCACTGGTATTGGTGGGAGGAGCAGTGCCCAGTCACTGGTATTGGTGGGAGGAGCAGTGCCCAGTCACTGGTATTGGTGGGAGGAGCAGTGCCCAGTCACTGGTATTGGTGGGAGGAGCAGTGCCCAGTCACTGGTATTGGTGGGAGGAGCAGTGCCCAGTCACTGGTAATGGTGGGAGGAGCAGTGCCAGTCACTGGTATTGGTGGGAGGAGCAGTGCCCCGTCACTGGTATTGGTGGGAGGAGCAGTGCCCGTCACTGGTATTGGTGGGAGGAGCAGTGCCCAACCACTGGTATTGGTGGGAGGAGCAGTGCCCAATCACTGGTATTGGTGGGAGGGGCAGTGCCCAATCACTGGTATTGGTGGGAGGGGCAGTGCCCAATCACTGGTATTGGTGGGAGGGAGCAGTGCCCAATCACTGGTATTGGTGGAGGAGCAGTGCCCAATCACTGGTATTGGTGGGAGGAGCAGTGCCCAATCACTGGTATTGGGGGAGAGCAGCGCCCAATCACTGGTATTGGTGGGAGGAGCAGCGCCCAATCACTGGTATTGGTGGGAGGAGCAGCGCCCAATCACTGGTATTGGTGGGAGGAGCAGCGCCCGTCACTGGTATTGGTGGGAGGAGCAGCGCCCCGTCACTGGTATTGGTGGGGAGAGAGCAGCGCCCCGTCACTGGTATTGGTGGGAGGAGCAGCGCCCAGTCACTGGGTATTGGTGGGAGGAGCAGCGCCCAGTCACTGGTATTGGTGGGAGGAGCAGCGCCCAGTCACTGGTATTGGTGGGAGGAGCAGCGCCCAGTCACTGGTATTGGTGGGAGGAGCAGCGCCCAGTCACTGGTAATTGGTGGGAGGAGCAGTGCCCAGTCACTGGTATTGGTGGGAGGAGCAGTGCCCCGTCACTGGTATTGGTGGGAGGAGCAGTGCCCCGTCACTGGTATTGGTGGGAGGAGCAGTGCCCGTCACTGGTATTGGTGGGAGGAGCAGTGCCCAACCACTGGTATTGGTGGGAGGAGCAGTGCCCAGTCACTGGTATTGGTGGGAGGAGCAGTGCCCAACCACTGGTATTGGTGGGAGGAGCAGTGCCCAGTCACTGGTATTGGTGGGAGGAGCAGTGCCCAACCACTGGTATTGGTGGGAGGAGCAGTGCCCAATCACTGGTATTGGTGGGAGGAGCAGCGCCCAATCACTGGTATTGGTGGGAGGAGCAGCGCCCAATCACTGGTATTGGTGGGAGGAGCAGCGCCCAATCACTGGTATTGGTGGGAGGAGCAGCGCCCAATCACTGGTATTGGTGGGAGGAGCAGCGCCCAGTCACTGGTATTGGTGGGAGGAGCAGCGCCCCGTCACTGGTATTGGTGGGAGGAGCAGCGCCCCGTCACTGGCATTGGTGGGAGGAGCAGCGCCCCGTCACTGGCATTGGTGGGAGGAGCAGCGCCCCGTCACTGGCATTGGTGGGAGGAGCAGCGCCCCCGTCACTGGCATTGGTGGGAGGAGCAGCGCCCAGTCACTGGTATTGGTGGGAGGAGCAGCGCCCAGTCACTGGTATTGGTGGGAGGAGCAGCGCCCAGTCACTGGTATTGGTGGGAGGAGCAGCGCCGTCACTGGTATTGGTGGGAGGAGCAGCGCCCCGTCACTGGTATTGGTGGGAGGAGCAGTGCCCGTCACTGGTATTGGTGGGAGGAGCAGTGCCCAATCACTGGTATTGGTGGGAGGAGCAGTGCCCAATCACTGGTATTGGTGGGAGGAGCAGTGCCCAATCACTGGTATTGGTGGGAGGAGCAGTGCCCAATCACTGGTATTGGTGGGAGGAGCAGTGCCCAATCACTGGTATTGGTGGGAGGAGCAGTGCCCAATCACTGGTATTGGTGGGAGGAGCAGTGCCCCATCACTGGTATTGGTGGGAGGAGCAGTGCCCAATCACTGGTATTGGTGGGAGGAGCAGTGCCCATCACTGGTATTGGTGGGAGGAGCAGTGCCCAATCACTGGTATTGGTGGGAGGAGCAGTGCCCCATCACTGGTATTGGTGGGAGGAGCAGTGCCCAATCACTGGTATTGGTGGGAGGAGCAGTGCCCAATCACTGGTATTGGTGGGAGGAGCAGTGCCCAATCACTGGTATTGGTGGGAGGAGCAGTGCCCAGTCACTGGTATTGGTGGGAGGAGCAGTGCCCAAGTCACTGGTATTGGTGGGAGGAGCAGTGCCCAATCACTGGTATTGGTGGGAGGAGCAGTGCCCGTCACTGGTATTGGTGGGAGGAGCAGTGCCCAGTCACTGGTATTGGTGGGAGGAGCAGCGCCCCGTCACTGGTATTGGTGGGAGGAGCAGCGCCCCGTCACTGGTATTGGTGGGAGGAGCAGCGCCCCAGTCACTGGTATGGTGGTGGGAGGAGCAGTGCCCATCACTGGTATTGGTGGGAGGAGCAGTGCCCCATCACTGGCATTGGTGGGAGGAGCAGTGCCCAGTCACTGGTATTGGTGGGAGGAGCAGTGCCCAAGTCACTGGTATTGGTGGGAGGAGCAGTGCCCAATCACTGGTATTGGTGGGAGGAGCAGTGCCCCGTCACTGGTATTGGTGGGAGGAGCAGTGCCCAACCACTGGTATTGGTGGGAGGAGCAGTGCCTCCGTCACTGGTATTGGTGGGAGGAGCAGTGCCCCCCACTGGTATTGGTGGGGACAATTAAGCAGTTACACAAAACTCCAACGTCACTGGTATTGGTGGGAGGAGCAATGCCCAATCCACTGGTATTGGTGGGAGGAGCAGTGCCCATTTTCTAGATTTCACTGGTCACATTGGTGGGAGGGGCTTTTGCCCAACCACTGGTATTGGTGGGAGGAGCAGTGCCCAATCACTGGTATTGGTGGGAGGCAGCTGTGCCCAATCCACTGGTATTGGTGGTGGAGGCATGGGCAGTGCCCAATCACTGTATTGGTGGGAAGAGCAGTGCCCAATCACTGGTATTGTGTGGTGCCCCATCACTGGTATTGGTAAATAAAGCATGCAAATTGGTGGGGGGAGCAGTCTAAAGTGCCCAATCACTGGTATTGGTGGGAGGAGCAGTGCCCAATCACTGGTATTGGTGGGAGGAGCAAGTGCCCAATCACTGGTATTGGTGGGAGGAGCAGTGCCCCATCACTGGTATTGGTGGGGGAGGAGCAGTGCCCAGTCACTGGTATTGGTGGGAGGAGCAGTGCCAATCACTGGTATTGGTGGGAGGAGCAGTGCCCAATCACTGGTATTGGTGGGAGGGAGCAGTGCCCAATCACATGGTTTTGGTGGGAGGAGCAGTGCCCATCACTGGTATTGGTGGGAGGAGCAGTGCCCAGTCACTGGTATTGGTGGGAGGAGCAGTGCCCAGTCACTGGTATTGGTGGGAGGGAGCAGTGCCAGTCACTGGTATTGGTGGGAGGAGCAGTGCCCAGTCACTGGTATTGGTGGGAGGAGCAGTGCCCAGTCACTGGTATTGGTAGGAGGAGCAGTGCCCAGTCACTGGTATTGGTGGGAGGAGCAGTGTGCCCAGTCACTGGTATTGGTGGGAGGAGCAGTGCCCAGTCACTGGTATTGGTGGGAGGAGCAGTGCCCCCGTCACTGGTATTGGTGGGAGGAGCAGTGCCCCGTCACTGGTATTGGTGGGAGGAGCAGTGCCCAACCACTGGTATTGGTGGCAGGAGCAGTGCTCAACCACTGGTATTGGTGGGAGGAGCAGTGCCCAATCACTGGTATTGGTGGGAGGAGCAGTGCCCAATCACTGGTATTGGTGGGGAGGGGCAGTGCCCAACCACTGGTATTGGTGGGAGGAGCAGTGCCCAATCACTGGTATTGGTGGGGGAGGAGCAGTGCCCAATCACTGGTATTAGTGGGAAGAGCAGTGCCCAATCACTGGTATTGGTGGGAAGAGCAGTGCCCAATCACTGGTATTGGTGGGAAGAGCAGTGCCCAATCACTGGTATTGGTGGGAGGAGCAGTGCCCAATCACTGGTATTGGTCACTGGAATTGGTGGAGGAGGAGCAGTGCCCAATCACTGGTATTGGTGGGAGGAGCAGCGCCCCGTCACTGGTATTGGTGGGAGGAGCAGCGCCCGTCACTGGTATTGGTGGGAGGCAGCGTCACTGGTATTGGTGGGAGGAGCAGCGCCCCGTCACTGGTATTGGTGGGAGGAGCAGCGCCCCAGTCACTGGTATTGGTGGGAGGAGCAGCGCCCAGTCACTGGTATTGGTGGGAGGAGCAGTGCCCAGTCACTGGTATTGGTGGGAGGAGCAGTGCCCAGTCACTGGTATTGGTGGGAGGAGCAGTGCCCAGTCACTGGTCATGGTATTGGTGGGAGGAGGAGCAGTGCCCAGTCACTGGTATTGGTGGGAGGAGCAGTGCCCAGTCACTGGTATTGGTGGGAGGAGCAGTGCCCCGTCACTGGTATTGGTGGGGGAGGAGCAGTGCCCCGTCACTGGTATTGGTGGGAGGAGCAGTGCCCCGTCACTGGTATTGGTGGGAGGAGCAGTGCCCCGTCACTGGTATTGGTGGGAGGAGCAGTGCCCCGTCACTGGTATTGGTGGGAGGAGCAGTGCGCCCCGTCACTGGTATTGGTGGGAGGAGCAGTGCCCATCACTGGTATTGGTATCACTGGTATTGGTGGGAGGAGCAGTGCCCAACCACTGGTATTGGTGGGAGGAGCAGTGCCCAACCACTGGTATTGGTGGGAGGAGCAGTGCCCAATCACTGGTATTGGTGGGAGGAGCAGTGCCCAATCACTGGTATTGGTGGGAGGAGCAGTGCCCAATCACTGGTATTGGTGGGAGGAGCAGTGCCCAATCACTGGTATTGGTGGGAGGAGCAGTGCCCAATCACTGGTATTGGTGGGAGGAGCAGTGCCCAATCACTGGTATTGGTGGGAGGAGCAGTGCCCAATCACTGGTATTGGTGGGAGGAGCAGTGCCCAATCACTGGTATTGTGGTGGGGAAGAGCAGTGCCCAATCACTGGTATTGGTGGGAGGAGCAGTGCCCCAATCACTGGTATTGGTGGGAGGAGCAGTGCCCAATCACTGGTATTGGTGGGAGGAGCAGTGCCCAATCACTGGTATTGGTGGGAGGAGCAGTGCCCCATCACTGGTCACTGGTTGGTGGGAGGAGCAGTGCCCAGTCACTGGTATTGGTGGGAGGAGCAGTGCCCAGTCACTGGTATTGGTGGGAGGAGCAGTGCCCAATCACTGGTATTGGTGGGAGGAGCAGTGCCCAATCACTGGTATTGGTGGGGGAGGAGCAGTGCCCAATCACTGGTATTGGTGGGAGGAGCAGTGCCCCGTCACTGGTATTGGTGGGAGGAGCAGTGCCCAGTCACTGGTATTGGTGGGAGGAGCAGTGCCCAGTCACTGGTATTGGTGGGAGGAGCAGCGCCCCGTCACTGGCATTGGTGGGAGGAGCAGTGCCCGTCACTGGCATTGGTGGGAGGAGCAGTGCCCCGTCACTGGTATTGGTGGGAGGAGCAGTGCCCCATCACTGGTATTGGTGGGAGGAGCAGTGCCCAATCACTGGTATTGGTGGGAGGAGCAGTGCCCAATCACTGGTATTGGTGGAGGAGCAGCGCCCAATCACTCGTATTGGTGGGAGGGGCAGTGCCCAACCACTGGTATTGGTGGGAGGAGCAGTGCCTAATCACTGGAGGAATAGTGCCCCAAGGGCAGGATAAAGGCCAGCAAAGGGCCGCATCTGGCCCTCTGGCCACAATTAAGCATTTACACAAAACTCCTCTATGCAGTTGCTTCATAGGGTCACAGATGGTCCAAAGATCTTCTTTGCTCCTTACTGAATATCGCAAAAAGGGGGTTCTGCCTTTATTTTCTAGATTTCACTGGAGCACAGCAGAACTTTGGGGTCTTTTGACTCCCAATAATAAATATTCCAGTGCGCACATGTTTAACCACAATTTCAACAAAGATTCAGCTTCCCGTTTCCTCAAAGCACACCATCTTACCTGTACATGGAAGGACCTGGCCAGCTGATAGCAGCTCTCGGCTTGCATTGCTTCAACTTCTGTGTTGTGGAAGGCATGGAGGGCCAAGTGCTGCACTTTGCTGTAATCCTGCAAGAGGAAACCAATTAGTATTGTGGAAATGCAAACAACTGCTTGTAAATAAATCATGCAAAGCTAAATGGGAAGGAGGGGGACAAGGGAGTCTACAGGCAAAATCATGGGCACCGGGGAGGAACCTGAAACTACCTGGGGAATCTCAGGCAGAATATAAGCAATGAGTGACAGACCCGGGCAAAAAACACACTCTCTCCCCTCTTGCCTGTCCTGGTGAAGTCTGCTCAGTCTATGTCCATGGAGTACGCCATAAAGATTTTACCCCTCCACGCGGTCTTCCAGATCATCCACCAGCCACAGGTGTATACCTACCTGGAGCTGTTCCTCCCTGCAGTATCCAAATACAAATATGCTTCACTTCCGCTGGTTTACTTTTTTAAAGTGATTGTATAGCTTTTTTTTTTTTAAATTAAAAAACATGTTATTCTTACCTGCTCTGTGCAACGGTTTTACACAGAGCAGGCCTGATCCTGCTCCAGGTCCCCTGCCATCTTTCCTGGTTACACCCCTCCACCTATAGGTTGCTATAGGGGTGTGCTCACTTCCATACCGGCTCTGTGTGTCCATTGTCAGTGTGTGCTGGCCTGGTGTGGATTGAGTGGACCTGGGGCAAAAAAGTCTTAACAATGGGTGATATGAAAGAAGCCGGGTCGGTGTGGTGACTACATGTTTCGGGGGGCGGGTCCCTTCATCAGGTTTCAAGTGCCTATCAACAGGAAGAAGGGTCAGCCGCATACCGGAGGATTGATGAATATAGTGTGCCATGTTTCACAGGACTGTCATATTGACTGTCATATGCCTTTAAGTGTTTGTATAATATGTCTCTGCTCCTCCCTTTCCTCTGGTTTAGTTAGTGCTGTATAGATAGCCCCACCCCTTTTTCCCTGAAATGCATTGCAGCTTCTAGCCTCATGTCATGAAGCAGGTCACATTATGATCTTTTGACCTATCAGATGTTCATTGTTGTAAGATTCTCTCAGTTTATGGAATAAACTTCACAAGATCTTCAAGATGTCTTCTGTATGGAGTCACTGCCTGTGATATTCAACTAAGATTGGAGTTATCGCTATCGCATCACAACTGTAAGTTACAGAAATCACACTTTCAATGCTTAGATTGAGAGACAGAACAATCGGCGATATGAAAGAAGCCGGGTTGGTGTGGTGACTACATGTTTCGTGGGGCGGGCCCCTTCGTCAGGTCTCAAGTGCCTATCAACAGGAAGAAGGGTCAGCCGAATACCCGGAGGATTGATGGATATAGTGTATATTTATTGATCCATAGGACACACAAAACACCAGGACATGAATACAGGACCTGTATTCATGTCCTGGTGTTTTGTGTGTCCTATGGTGTGGTGACTACATGTTTCAGGGGGGGGCCCCTTCGTCATGTCTCAAGTGCCTATCAACAGGAAGAAGGGTCAGCTGCACACCCGGAGGATTGATGAATATAGTGTATATTTATTGATCCATAGGACACACAAAACACCAGGACATGAATATTGTGTGTCCTATGGTGTGACTACATGTTTCGGGGGGCGGGCACCTTCGTCAGGTCTCAAGTGCCTATCACCAGGAAGAACGGTCAGCCGCACAACAGAGAATAGATGAATATAGTGTATATTTATTGATCCACAGGACACACAAAACACCAGGACATGAATACAGGTCCTGTATTCATAGGTCCTGGTGTTTTGTGTGTCCTATGGATCAATAAATACACACTATATTCATCTATCCTCTGTTGTGCGGCTGACCGTTCTTCCTGTTGCAGTGTGTGTGGTGACGAACCAGAGCCTGCACAGTTGTGGATTGATCTAGATTATTTGCCTGAGCGGTATACCTCTGTTCTTTGGATCAAGTGGCCATCATCCATTGTTGAGGCTTTTTTGCCCCAGTTCCAGCTTTCATTTCCACGCACTCCTACAGCGCTCCACACCAGGCCAGCACACTCTGACATTGGTGCCCACACAGCAGCAACCACTTGGCTTGGAGCACTTCCGCCATCTCTCTGCATCACATCCGGTTCCGGCTGACGTCACTTCCGGCTGTGGCGGCTCAGCGTTCCGGCGGCTGCTGACATAGTTTCCTTGTCTCAAGGATCTCCACATCGAAATTGGTGTCATCATGGCTTGGGGTAATAGGATGTCTACGTGGATCCCCTTGTGAATGGACTCGGTTTATGGTATGTGGCATTGCACTGGCTGATACGGTTTTAATCCCCATTAAAACATGACAATTTATTCTCAACACCATGCCTGACTTCTGGATTTTCCTGTATGTTTTATGCTATCTGGCAGGACCTTGGTGCTCCTTTTAGACTGTTGTTACATTATGGAATACATAACCCACCTGGGGATCCAGAACATTAACCACTTACCATCTGGCCCATGTACATAAACGGCCGGACGGGAGCAGTGCAGAAGTGGGTGGCCGTTTATCAAAGGCCTCTGCATTCACTGCCTGTCCTGAGGACATAGCAGAACACCAAATCGCTGTACGGGACCTCTGTGTGAGGTCCCGATCATGTGATCGCTGATTGACCAATCAGCGATCACATGAATAGTAGTAAGCAAGATGTCACTTCTGACATCATTGCTTACTACGTGTGAAATCTGTGAATGATCACAGAGGTCACATAGTACAGGGCTATTCACAACAGCCTTGTACCATGTGACAAGCTTTGACCAATCACAGCTCTCACAGTATTTCTCAATGGCTGCAAGAATGCAGCCAGAGAGAAGGAGAAATGATTGCTTTTACAGCCTTTATAGATGTAAAAGTAATCTGTGTAAAAAAAAAAAAAATCATCATCCCCTCACAAGTAGTAGTGTCACTATGGTGACACTGTACTGCTAGGGTGACAGCAAGCAAAAAAACAAAACAAAAACAAAACCCAAATAATATAAAAAAATAAAATAGAGTAAAAAAATGTTTTTAAAAATTATAATTTTTGGTTATAAACTAATTTGGGTTATTTTTTTTTCTATAAAGATAACTGAATACATTTTGGCCAAGATTTATGAAGAAAGATTTATTTGCAAAATTGTATAAAAAAAAACACTTTTTTTTCAAAATGTTTGGACTTTTTCATTTATATAGCATAAAAATAAAAATCCCAGCGGTGAATAAATACCACCAAAACAAAGTTTTATCTGTCTCAGAAAAATACTAAAAAATTAATATGGGTATGAGTGTTGCATGACCGCGCAATTGTCATTCAAAGTGTGACAGCACTGAAACCGTGCTGAAAATTGGCCTGGACAGGAAGGGGGGGAAAGTGTCCCGGACTGGAAGGGGGTGAAAGTGTCCGGACTGGAAGGGGGTGAAAGTGTCCGGACTGGAAGGGGGTGAAAGTGTCCGGACTGGAAGGGGGGTGAAAGTGTCGGACGGAAAGTGTCCGGACTGGAAGGGGGTGAAAGTGTCCGGACTGGAAGGGGGGGAAAGTGTCCGGACTGGAAGGGTGAAAGTGTCCGGACTGGAAGGGGGGGGAAAGTGGAAGGGGGGGTCCGGACTGGAAAGACTGGAAGGGGGGGGGGGAAAGTGTCCGGACTGGAAGGGGGGGAAAGTGTCCGGACTGGAAGGGGGGGAAAGTGTCCGGACTGGAAGGGGGGGGGGAAAGTGTCCGGACTGGAAAAGGGGGGGAAAGTGTCCGGACTGGAAGGGGGGGGGAAAGTGTCCGGACTGGAAAGGAAGGGGGGGAAAGTGTCCGGACTGGAAGGGGGGGAAAGTGTCCGGACGGACTGGAAAACTGGGGGGGGAAAGTGTCCGGACTGGAAGGGGGGGAAAGTGTCCGGACTGGAAGGGGGGGAAAGTGTCCGGACTGGAAGGGGGGGAAAGTGTCCGGACTGGAAGTGGTTAAAACTATGGGTTTTCCTACCGCTTTAATAACATTCTCTAAAACCTACCAGTTGGTGAAAACCCACACAAAGACAACACAACCCTTTAAGTCTGGTAAGATATTTGAGTGACATGATTTACTTATGAAGATGAATAACCTCTAAGCGTCTCACCTTTTTGAAGAAGAAGTGGTTGGCGAGGTGGTTGAGCACCATAGGGTTACTTGGGTCGATGGTGTACGCTTTGGACAGTAGTTGAACGCCATTTTTAATAGAATCGGCCTGCAGGAATATATATCGTAAATAAACTACAAATTTGGCTCACAGAGAAAGAAAAAACAAACATAAAACACGGAGTAGAGGAGTTTGCATTCCTACTGCTTGGTTAAAAAAAACAAGCATGGTAATATGCCCACTTACCTCCTTGTTGTTTAGCTCAAGGACAGCTAGGCCCACAAGGGCTCCGACACATTTGGGGTTGAGCTCCAGAGCTCGCCCAAAGGCGAGACGGGCCTTGTCAAGCTTGTTCAGTTTTACAAAACAGTGGCCCATGCCTAAGCGGACTCCGGCTGCAGGACACAAAACACGCCATTCATATCAGACAATACACTTTACACAAGGTAGGGAAATCTGTACAACTCATTTTCAGTCTAAAATCTGAGAAACTAAAAAACAATAAGAGATGGGGGGACTCAAAACACCCCCCTCACAGGAAAACCATGAAAAAGGCACAAACGTACGGTGACATCACGGGGTTCTGTGGGATGACATCATCATAAGATACCCAAATGGAACCCCCATAGGAGTACAAATATTCCTGTTTGGAGTATTGGCCACGGGGGTGTCACCAGCAACATTGTTCACCCAGAGTATATGGTATATAAAAGCAGGCAGAGGGCAGGAACTGGGGTCAGAGGTCACAGGCAGCGAGAAGATTTTCAGGGTCACAGAGCAGGTAGGGATCAGGCAATTAAATAAGGGATCGCACAATGGGGCGAGATCAGGGGGGTCCGACTTGACACAGGGTGGAGAGACCGGGGAGGGGTTCCGACTTCACACAGGGTGGAGAGACCAGGGAGTAGTTCTGACTTCACACAGTGGGGAGAGACCGGGGGGAGGGCCGGGCTTCACACAGCGCACTGAGACTCGGGAGGGGGGATATGGATCTGACTTCACACAGTTGGACTGGGGAGGGTTCGAATTCACACAGCGGGGAGAGAAAGGGGGGGGCCATCCAACTTCACACAGCGGGCGGGGAGACATTGAGGGGGGGGGGGGTGACTGACTTCACACAGTGGGGAGAGACTCGGGGGGTCCGACTTCACACAGAGGGGAGAGATGGGGGGGGGGGGTTTCCAACTCCACACAGCGGGGAGAGACGGGTGGGGGGTGGATTTGATGGACGTTCCCACTTCACACTGTGGGGAGATACTGGGGGGGGGTATGGGTGTCCGACTCCACACAGTGGGGAGAGCACGGGGGGTGTTGGTGTCCGACTTCACACAGCGGGGAGAGCCCGTGAGGTGGATGGTCCGCTTCACACAGCAGGGAGATGGGGGGGGGGGGGGGGGGGGGGGGGGGGGGGGGGGGGGGGGATGGCGTAGGTGGGGGGGTTGATGGATGTTCCCACCTCACACAATGGGGAGTACTGGGGGGGGTCTAACTTCACACAGCGGGAAGAGACAGGGGTGGTGGGATGGGGGTTGGTGTCCGAATTCACACAGCGGGGAGAGACCGGGAGGGGGTGGTCCGACTTCATATAGTGGGGAGAGACCGGGAGGGGGGGTGGTCCGACTTCATATAGTGGGGAGAGACCAGGAGGGGGATGGTCTGACTTTACACAGAGTGGGGAGATAATGGGGGGCAGTTGTCTGGGGATCACCTCAGCGTGGAGAGTCAAGCAGTAGTTAGATACTGGAGGATCAGAGGCGACACAGTGGGTAGATATGGGGGGGGGGGGTTGGGGGTTCAGGGGCCACACAGTGGGGAGATATTGAGAGCTCAGAGGCCACACAGTGCGGAGAGGTTGGTGTTGCTATGAATATTCCTCATCCATAGCACATTGTTATATAAAATGGTAACGTGCCCCTCAGGTGTACAATGGAGGAGATGCTACCAGCAGCAGGTAACATAGAATACTCGGCTCACCTGGACACCCAGGGTTGGTGCGCAGGGCTTTCTTATAGTAGGCAAGGGCCCCTCGGTAGTCTTTCTTGTTGAACGAGATACAAGCTTTTCCTGCAAGACAAAATGTTTTTTTTCAAATGAAAACCAGAATTCCAGAACACACCGCCATGTACAACTGAAACCGCCCCCTGATTACCTACCCAGCAAGGCCGGGATGTTGTTTGGGGACTGGTTAAGCACAAAGTGAAACTGGGCATCGGCCTGGTCCATCTTATCTCCCTCTAGGAGACAGAAGCAGGCTCTTCCCAGCAAGTGGTTCTGGAAAAAACAAAACAGATTCATAAAAATGTGAAGAAGAGAACATATATGACTGCCCGGTGTTACCTCTGCAACTCCCCACCCCAGTGCTCAATGGAACAAGCTCTTTCTCCATGTAGATTTCCCCCGCCCCCACTACATGGACTACAGCAGCACTCTAATAGTTATCCCAATTGGTTTTATTCTACCTCCTTTTAGATAGAAATCATGGGAGTTCAACTGAACGCGTCACTTTGACTACTCAGGATAAAGAGACCAGACTTCTTGACAGGGTACCCCTCACCCAGGGGCGGACTGACCATTTGGAGACTCGGAGCACTGCCGAGGGCCCGGGGTCAGTAGGGGGCCCCATGACATGCCCCTGGTACCTTTTTCATAGGCTTTTTTGAGTTTGGCCAAGGACACAGGGGCCCCATGATCCCCTATTGCCCGGGGGCCCCATGAGTTGTCGGTCAGCCCCTGCCCTCACCCCATTATACTTACCTTCCCTGCGCTCCCTTGCCGATCTAATTACCTGCAGGAACGCCAAGTCCTAGCCCTGTGAAAGTGCTACATTGGAGCTCACACAGGGATTTTGACCTCCCTTTCTTCTATCATGACAGTAGAACCTACTAAGCCCCACCACTACCACCTCTGACTCCCGTGAAGAAATGAAAACCAAAGCCACTCACCTGGTCATACATGATGATCTTGTCAGCCATTGTATACAGCAGGGTGGCCTGTGTGATCAGCTCCTTCTTGCCATCTTTGTTCTTCTCCTTGCGGGCCTGTTGGACATAGTAGGCCGCCAAAGTGTCCAGGCAAGTCATCTGGTCTTTCTCGTGGTCCCTGTAGTCCAAGTTGCCATCTATGCGAGCCGCTTCCAGCAGCTTCACAAAGTCCTCCGTCTTTCCCTGCTTGTAATATTCCAACTGGAGGGAAAGAGAACTATTATTACATCATTCAGGTAAAATCGGTCCATCGGTGGTGGGGGGACATTAGAGTGTAAGCTCTTCTGGTAAAGGGAATGATGTGACTGGCTCAGTGTTCTCTGTACAGCACTGCGGTATATGTCAGAGCTATATAAAAGGTATAATAGCTGTGCCGTGGTGGGTGGGGACATTAGGTTGTACATTTTTGTTTATTAAAAATTTGGCAAACATGCAGCTTTTTAAGGCCTCATGAGCACTGGACACTTTTTGCAGCTGTTTCTAGGGGCATCTGGTGTTTAGTTTTGGGGTTTTTTTTGGGGGGGGGGGGGGGGGGGGGTTGCTGCTTCTGAACTGTTAGTCTGTGTGTCCATTCACATTTAAACTTTCAAAGGAGTTTAGAGACAAGAAGAAAAATCCCACTGTCAGTGCATCTAGGAGCAGCTAGGAGTTTTGGCAGAAAAAAAATGCTTGATGCTTCTAAATGCGGCATGTTTACCCTAGGAGCTGTTAATTCATTTCGATGGCCAGAATAAATGCCTCAGGGTTGATAGTCAGTTACACAGTGTCTGTGCTTGATAGGAGGAGGCACAGTGCCCCATCGCTGGTGTCAGCGGGCGGCACAGTGCCCCATCGCTGCTGTCAGCGGGCGGCACAGTGCCCCATCGCTGCTGTCAGCGGGCGGCACAGTGCCCCATCGCTGCTGTCAGCGGGCGGCACAGTGCCCCATCGCTGCTGTCAGCGGGCGGCACAGCGCCCCATCGCTGCTGTCAGCGGGCGGCACAGCGCCCCATCGCTGCTGTCAGCGGGCGGCACAGCGCCCCATCGCTGCTGTCAGCGGGCGGCACAGCGCCCCATCGCTGCTGTCAGCGGGCGGCACAGCGCCCCATCGCTGCTGTCAGCGGGCGGCACAGCGCCCCATCGCTGCTGTCAGCGGGCGGCACAGCGCCCCATCGCTGCTGTCAGCGGGCGGCACAGCGCCCCATCGCTGCTGTCAGCGGGCGGCACAGCGCCCCATCGCTGCTGTCAGCGGGCGGCACAGCGCCCCATCGCTGCTGTCAGCGGGAGGAATAGTGCCCCATCATTAATACTCAGGGGAGGAGCACTAAATAGCTTACTTCAGCATAGAAAATGGCTTTTTTTTACTGGGAAAAACAAAGAGAACCAATCATATTTTAATATTATTATCTTTATAATGTATCTCAACAAAGCCGACCGTCACCTAAACACTACCTCGGGCTAAGAAACAATGATACATTTATCCCATGCATGCCGCCTTTTTTCAAAAATCTGATCTTACAAAAATCTAGGGGACGTGAAAGCACAGAAAGAGAAGCTACGCCACCAGAGACTGACAGACAGCAGCTACGGGGACCTGACATTCCTCCACACCTTTGTCCAGACCCCCAGCCGCCACCTGTCCTTCTCAAGACCCCGAATCTTCCCAACCTCACCCAGAAAATTGTGCACCACCACCTCGACAGGAAGGACTTTTTTGCGAATGGAAACCTGACAGTGTGCATTCCACGTGTAGTAACGGACTACTAAGCTAACTAGAAAAAGTGTGTCAAAATCAGTCCTGGTGAGTCCGAAAGGCTCCGTAAGACCACTCCGCGTAACTCAAACGGGAAAGGAAAGGGATACCCAGAGCTCCACCCCTGCTTGTAGACTTTTCTATTGAAGGGGCACTGAAGCAAGAAATGGTCCATCGTCTCCTCCAACCCACCGCACTCCACTCTTGGACAACCACAGTTCTCCGCAGAGCGATGCTTCAGGTTGCCCTTCACATAGAGTCTGCCATGGAATGAGAGCCAGGCCAAATCCCAAAACTTTAAAGGGATTCTCTCCAGATTCATCAAACGCAGAACCTCCCCCATAACTGGGCCTGGAGCGGGAAAGGAAAGGGATACCCAGAGCCCCACCCCCGCTTGTAGACTTCTATATTGAAGGGGCACTGAAGCAAGAAATGGTCTATCGTCTCCTCCAACCCACCGCACTCCACTCTTGGACAACCACAGTTCTCCGCAGAGCGATGCTTCAGGTTGCCCTTCGCATAGAGTCTGCCATGGAATGAGAGCCAGGCCAAATCCCAAAACTTTAAAGGGATTCTCTCCAAATTCATCAAACGCAGACCCTCCCCCATAACCGGGCCTGGAGCGGGAAAGGAAAGGGATACCCAGAGCTCCATCCCTGCTTGTAGACTTCTATATTGAAGGAGTACTGAAGCAAGAAATGGTCCATCGTCTCCTCCAACCCACCGCACTCCACTCTTGGACAACCACGGTTCTCTGCAGAGCGATGCTTCAGGTTGCCCTTCACATAGAGTCTGCCATGGAATGAGAGCCAGGCCAAATCCCGACACTTTAAAGGGATTCTCTCCAGATTCATCAAACGCAGACCCTCCCTTATAACCGGGCCTGGGCAATCCCTTAAGGCCAATGGCAGATTCAACAGATTCCTCTTCTCCAGGGCCTTCCTAGGAACATTAGAGTGTAAGCTCCTCTGGTTCAGCGATCCCTGTACAGCACTGTGGTATATATTAAAGCTATATAAATGTGTGGCGGCAGCACTGTGGCAGTGAGGACATCAAAGTGTAAGCTTCTCTGGTGCAGAAGAGTGCCTGAAAATACTGACCGCCAAGGCAATCCATATGTGCAGCTGAGTGTGCTCCTGTTTCAGGATACTGATAACTTCATCGCCTTCCGGGAGTTGATCAAAGTCAAGCTCGATGACCTGGATGAGAGAGACAAATAGAGACACTTGTAGGTCCAGCTGACTGCCACCACCTGTGGTCAGGAAGGATCAGGTCTGTTTCATAGAGTAATAGTCCTGGGGTTTTGGGTTTATGAGGGTCTGAGGTCACACAGGGAGTGTCATAGACTCAAAGTCAGGCAGTGAGTACATACTGGGGTCGGGGGGGTTAGTGATCTGGCACCGGGTAGATAATGGAGTTACAGATCACCTAGTGGATGGATTTCAGGGGTCACTGGTCAGGCAGTGGCTATATGGGATCAGAGATGGAAGGCAGAGGTCTGAGGTCATACAGTATGTACACAACAGGGGTCTGGGAACTGGAAATGAGAAGGTATTTGGGATAAGAGCGGATTGGTTCTGGGGGGGGGTCATTAGTAAGTAAGTTGGTAAAGGGCATAGAGTTAAGGGAGTGAATGGGAATTAGTGGGTCATGTGTCTCATAGTGGGTAGATACTGGGTGGCAAGTTCAGGAAGCAACTGAGCACAGGGGGGGGGGGGGTTACAGGTCAGACAGGGGTGAATAATGTGGGTAACAGGGCAGGCATGATTAGGTAAAGGGAGTTACTGGTCTGGCAGAGGGGTCAGAGGGCACAGAGTGGGGAGATATTTGAGGTTTGCGATCAGATATTGAGATGTGTGTGGGAGAGTATTGGGGGGGTGACAAGTCAAGCAATTAGTACAGAGATCATACTCTGAGGCAGGGGTCAAAGGTCACATGATGCAGAAATACTGGGGAGGGGGTCAGAGGTAACACAACAGGAAGATATTGGGGGGGGGGATAAGAGGTCATACAATATGGAGATACTGGGGGGGGGGGGGGTCAGAGGTCACGCGACTTGGATGCACGGGGGGGTCCGAAGTTACATGTCAGGGAGATACTTCGGGGGTCAGGAATCACACAATGGGGAGATATGGGGGGGGGGGGGGTGTTTAGGGATCACAAGTCAGAGAAATACTGGGAGGCCAGAGATCGCGCGATGTGGAAATACTGGGGAGCGGGTCAGAGGTCCCATTACAGGGAGATACGGGGGGGGGGGGGGGGGGCAAAGGTTACACGACAGAGAGCTACTGAGGGGGTCAAATGTCAGGGAGATACTGGGGGGGGAATCAGAAGTCCCACAACGGGAAGATACTGGGGGGGGGGGCAGAAAAAAACATGACAGGGAGAGACCAGGGAGGTGAGAGGTCACACAATGTAGAACCACTGGGGGGGGCGAGGGGTCACACAACAGGGAGACCGGGGGGGGGGGGGGGGAGTGCTGTCACACAACAGGGAGACCGGGGGGGAAAAGGGCTGTCACACAACAGGGAGACCCGTGGGGGGGTCACACAAAAGGGAACAGGGAGATCCGGGGGGGGTGTCGCACATCAGGGAGATCGGGGGGGGGGGGGGGTTCACACAACAGGGAGGTCCGGGGGGGGGGGGGGGGGGGTTCACACAACAGGGAGATCGGGGGGGGGGGGGGGGGGTTCACACAACAGGGAGATCGGGGGGGGGGTTTACACAACAGGGAGATCGGGGGGGGGGGGGTTTACACAACAGGGAGATCCGGGGGGGGGGGGTTTTACACAACAGGGAGATCCGGGGGGGGGGTTTACACAACAGGGAGATCCGGGGGGGGGGTTTACACAACAGGAGAGATCCGGGGGGGGGGGTTTACACAACAGGGAGATCGGGGGGGGGGGGGGGGGGTTTACAAAACAGGGAGATCCGGGGGGGGGGGGCGTTCCACAACAGGGAGATCCGGGGGGGGGGCGTTCCACAACAGGGAGATCCGGGGGGGGGGGGGCGTTCCACAACAGGGAGATCCGGGGGGGGGGGGCGTTCCACAACAGGGAGATCCGGGGGGGGGGGGGGGCGTTCCACAACAGGGAGATCCGGGGGGGGGGGCGTTACACAACAGGGCAGGGAGATCCGGGGGGGGGGGGGGCGTTACACAACAGGGAGATCCGGGGGGGGGGGGCGTTACACAACAGGGAGATCGGGGGGGGGGGGGGTTACACAACAGGGAGATCCGGGGGGGGTTACACAACAGGGAGATCCGGGGGGGGGGGGTTACACAACAGGGAGATCCGGGGGGGGGGGGGGGTTACACAACAGGGAGATCGGGGGGGGGGGGTTACACAACAGGGAGATCCGGGGGGGGGTTACACAACAGGGAGATCCAGGGAGATCCGGGGGGGGGGGGTTACACAACAGGGAGATCCAGGGGGGGGGGGGGGGTTACACAACCAGGGGGGGGGGGGGGGGGTTACACAACAGGGAGATCCGGGGGGGGGGGTTACACAACAGGGAGATCCGGGGGGGGGGGTTACACAACAGGGAGATCAGGGGGGGGGTTACACAACAGGGAGATCAGGGGGGGGGGGGTTACACAACAGGGAGATCCGGGGGGGGGGGTCACACAACAGGGAGATCCGGGGGGGGGGGGGTCACACAACAGGGAGATCCGGGGGGGGGTCACACAACAGGGAGATCCGGGGGGGGGGGGGTTCACACAACAGGGAGATCCGGGGGGGGGGGTCACACAACAGGGAGATCCGGGGGGGGGGGGGTCACACAACAGGGAGATCCGGGGGGGGGGGGGTCACACAACAGGGAGATCCGGGGGGGGGGGGGGGTTACACAACAGGGAGATCGGGGGGGGGGGTTACACAACAGGGAGATCCGGGGGGGGGGTTACACAACAGGGAGATCCGGACGGGGGGGGGGGGGGGGGGATCCGGTGAGCGGGGGGGGGGGGGGGGGTTACACAACAGGGAGATCCGGGGGGGGGTTACACAACAGGGAGATCGGGGGGGGGGGGGGGGGTTACACAACAGGGAGATCCGGGGGGGGGGGTTACACAACAGGGAGATCCGGGGGGGGGGGGGGGGGTTACACAACAGGGAGATCCGGGGGGGGGGGTTACACAACAGGGAGATCCGGGGGGGGGGGGGTTACACAACAGGGAGATCCGGGGGGGGGGGGTTACACAACAGGGAGATCCAGGGGGGGGGGGGGGGTTACGCAACAGGGAGATCCAGGGGGGGGGGGGGTTACGCAACAGGGAGATCCGGGGGGGGGGGGGGGGTTACGCAACAGGGAGATCCGGGGGGGTTACGCAACAGGGAGATCCGGGGGGGGGGGGGCACGATGTGGAGATATTGGGAGGGGGGTGTCAGAGGTCACACGACAGGGAGATACTGGGGGGTCAGAGGTCACGATTAAGAGATACGGGGGGGGTCAGAGGTCACACGAGAGGGAGATGCTGGGAAGAGGATCATAGATCATGATTAAGAGATACTGGGGGGGGGGGGTCAGAGATCACAATTAAGAGATACTGGGAGGGGGGCAGAGGTCATGATTAAGAGATACTGGGGGGGGAGCCGATGTCACATAGGAGGGAGATATGGGGGGGTCAAAGGTCACATGACAGAGAGGTACTGAGGGGGTCAGAGGTCAAATGTCAGGGAGATACTGGGGGGGGGAGATCAGAAGTCACACAACGGGGAGATACTGGGGGGGGGGGGGGCAGAGGTCACATGACAGGGAGAGGGTCAGAGATCGCGATTAAGAGATACTGGGGAGGTCAGAGGTCATGATTAAGAGATAGTGGGGGGGGGGGCAGAGGTCATGATTAAAAGATACTGGGGGGGAGCCGAGGTCACACAAGAGGGAGATATGGGGGGGTCAAGGGTCACATGACAGAGAGGTACTGGGGGGTCAGAGGTCAAATGTCAGGGAGATACTGGGGGGAGATCAGAAGTCACACAACGGGGAGATATGGGGGGGGGGGGGGGGGGGGGGGGGGGGGCGGCGCAGAGGTCACATGACAGGGAGAGGGTCAGAGATCGCAATTAAGAGATACTGGGGGGGTCAGAGGTCATGACTAAGAGATACTGGGGGGTCAAAGGTCACGATTAAGAGATACTGGGGGGGTCATAGGTTACAATTAAGAGAAACCGGGGGGGGAGGCAGAGGTCATGAGTAAGAGATACGGGGGGGGTCAGAGGTCACAAATAAGATACTGGGGGGGGGGCAGAGGTCACGATTAAGAGGTACTGGGGGGTCAGAGGTCACACAACAGGGAGATACTGGGGGGGACAGGTCTCACTGTAGGGGGATATGGGGGGGATCAAAGGTCACTTCGTGGATAGATATGGAGGGATGAGGGGGGCAGGGTCAGAGATCTGGGGGAAGGGGGGGTCCCCGGTCTGGCCGGGCACAGGAAGGGGGTCAGGCAGCGGATGGCTCTCAGGGTTCCTGCGCTCACCTCGTCCGTATCCCGCAGAGGGATCTCTATGGAGCCACGAGACATCCTGCAGCCTCCGGGAGCTCCGACCACCACGGAGACGCTCTCGATAGACCCTGATACCCGACGGCTGAGAACACAGGAAGTGACCTCAGGAAGGCACACTGGAAGGGACAATCCTCTTCCGGGAGACCAACACGTAACGTCACCCAGCGTGCCTGACCGGAGCGGCGTGGGAGGAGAGTGTCGCCGCCGTGGGGGTGTAGAGCGGCCATATTCTTGGTTGAGCAGACGCTGACGTAGATAAAGACACCCAGAAATTATATAAATATATTAGAATTCTATCTGATTTAAAAGAAAAAAAAATAGCAATAACAGAATGTTCTCCCGGGGAGCCGGAACTAAATGAGGCGACTATGTGAGTCTCACATTGTTCACACTGCAGGAATGGCAGACCGGCTGGTTGCTAATGGCAACAACACAATGCCTCAGGTGTAGGCCTTCAGCCTGCGCAGTCATGAGAGTTGGGTTGGTTGCTACCGGCAACGCCTCCACGCCTCCATTTCAGGGCCCAATCTCTGCGCTCTTTCCATGTTCACAGACAGCGACTCCCAGACCTCTGTGGATTGAACCCGGATTTGAATTTTTCCAATGGGTTCAAAGTATTCAAATCAAAAAGATTTGATCCGAATTCATTGTGTAGAATAGCTGGTTATATTCGAGGCAAAATTCCAACTTCAGAACGTGCAGCAGGAAGCCAGCTATGAAGCGGCAAGAACTCACAGACGGCTTCCATTAGTAAACATGCCAACACTGGGGACCTGAAGACCGCTGAAGAACCGGCTCGGGATGAGGACAGCGTAGGACCCCTGGAAAAGTAATTGTCCTTACAGGCGTACCTCGGTTTGTGAACGCCTCGGTTAACGTAATTTCCGGTTTACGAATGAAAATCCATTGAAAATAATCCCTCGGTTTACGAATTTTTTTTTCAATAGAAATGGATTAATTGGTTTTCAGTGCATTTACAAATTAATTTTTAATCATGTCCCTGTACAGTATTTATGCCTTTAAAGTGCACTTTATAAATAGTTTTGAACAGATAAAAGACTTTTTTTTTTTTTACTTTTTTCTCACCTCCGGAACGGATTAATTGGCTTTCAATGCATTTACAAATTTTTTTTAATCATGTCCCTGTACAGTATTTATGCCTTTAAAGTGCACTTTATAAAGAGTTTTGAACACATAATTTTTTTTTTTTTTTTTACTTTTTTCTGACCTCTGGAACAGATTAATTGGTTTTCAATGCATTTACAAATTTTTTTTAATCATGTCCCTGTACAGTATTTATGCCTTTAAAGTGCACTTTATAAAGAGTTTTCAGCAGATAAGACTTTTTTTGACTTTTCTCTGAGCTCCAGAACGGATTAATTGGTTTTCATGTCCCTGTACAGTATTTATGCCTTTAACTACTTGCCGACCGCAGATAGCTGAATGACGGCTACACTGCGGCTGGCCAGTTCTGGGTGGGCATCATATGACGTCCTCCCAGAACGTGCTCTCCTGTGTGCCCCCGGGGGCGCGCACCCGTCGATCTCCGTGATCGCTGTGTCCTACGGACACAGGTGATCACGTGATGTGGTAAAAGGCCAATCACAGCGGCCTTTTACCACGTGATCAGCCGTGTCCAATGACACGCTGATCATCGGGAAATGCAATTGCCGGTTCTCGGCTGCACTTTCCTCACGCTGTCAGATCGAGACCGAGAACCGGCAGTTGTTAGAGCAGGGATCGGCACCGATCATCAGGGCACTGATGATCAGTGCCCTGATGATCGGTGCCCAGCAGTGCCACCCACAAGTTCTGCCCACCTGTGCCCAGCAGTGCGCCCACTTGCTCCGCCCACCTGTGCCCAGCAGTGCACCCACCTGTGCCACCCAGCAGTGTCACACACCTGTGCCCAGCAGTGCCACCCACCAGTGCCCATCAGTGCAGCCCAGCAGTGCCACCAGTCAGTGCCCAGCGGTTGTGCCAGTCAGTTCCCAGCAGTGCCGCCAGTCAGTGCCCAGCAGTGATGCCAGTCAGTGCCACCTATCAGTGCTGTCTATCAGTACCCATCATCAGTGTCGCCTATCAGTGCCGCCTATCAGTGTCGCCTATCTGTGACACCTCAGTGCTGCCTATCAGTGCCGCCTATCAATGCCACCTCATAAGTGCTGCCTATCAGTGCTGCCTATCAGTGCCCTTCAGTGCTGCCTATCATTGCCCATCAGTGCCACCTATCAGTGCCCATCAGTGCCGCCTATCATTGCCCATCAGTGCTGCCTCATCAACGCACATCAGTGAAGGAGAAAAATTACCTGTTTGAAAATTTTTATAATAGAAACAAAGAAACTTTTTTTTTTCAAATTTTTTGCAATTTTTTTCTTTATAGCGCAAAAAGTAAAGTGCTCAGCGGGGATTAAATACCAACAAAAGAAAGCTCTATTTGTGAGAAAAAAATGATAAAAAGTTTATATGGGTACAATCTTGCATGACCGCGCAATTGTCAATCAAAGTGCGACAGCGCTGAAAGCTGAAACTTGGCCTGGTAAAGAAGGGGGTATAAGTGCCCGGTAGGCGAGGGGTTAAAGTGCACTTTATAAAGAGTTTTGAACACATAAGACTTTTTTTGACTTTCCAGAACGTATTAATTGGTTTTCAGTGCATTTACAAATTGATTTTAAATCATGTCCCTGTACAGTATTTATGGCTTTAAAATGCACTTTATAAGGAATTTTGAACAGATAAAACTTTTTTTTTACTTTTTTCTGACCTCCGGAACGTATTAAATGGTTTTCAATGCATTTACGAAGACATTTTTAATCATGTCCCTGTACAATATTTATGCCTTTAAAGTGCACTTTATGAAGAGTTTTAACAGATAGGACTTTTTTTTTTTACTATTAATTGGAACGGATTAATTGGTTTTCAATGCATTCCTATGGGAAAAACCGCGTTTTGGTTTACAAATTTTTAGCAATACAAAAAGTCCCGCAGAACGTATTCGTAAACCGAGGCACGCCTGTATATTAAAAGTCAGCAGCTACAATATTTGTAGCTGCTGACTTTTAATTTTTTTTTTTTTTTTTGGGTGGGGGTAGGGGACACTGAAGATTCGCTTTAAGTATGCCCATGTGAATGAGGCCTTACCCATGGAATCCAAAGACCGTTTTTCGAGGGCTCCACTCCCTTTGTCAAGCCTCACCATCTGTCTGCACGGTGAACCTCTTACAGTCTACTTCTCTGTAAGTGATACTATTGTTTGCAAATAAAGTGTTACAAGTTTTTACACCCCATGCACCACTACTCTGTTTCCTTTGCATGCTACTGACTGTAGCACTACCCCCTTAGGAGTTGAGGAGTTTTGGCTCCCCCTGTAGACCTGCACAGCCAGGCAACACGCATTTTCTTCAGACCTTGCACACTGGAGACAGTAAACAGTCCTCAAGCCTTTTTTTGTTGTTGTTTTATATGGAGTATTGAACTTGGATGCGGTTGAGGGGTGTATGGGGTGCCCAAGGGAACTGCAACTTGAGGACAAACTCCTTAGTAACTATGTAAGTCCATAAACAGAAAAGTCTCTTTGTTGTGAGAGCAGGTGTACCACCTCAGACCCTAGATCACGGGTGTCAAACTGGCGGCCCTCCAGCTGTTGTCAAACTACAAGTCCCATGAGGCATTGCAAGATTGACAGTTACAAGCGTGACTCCCAAAGGAAGAGGTGCAGAGGCATGATGGGACTTGTAGTTTTGCAACAGCTGGGGGGCCGCCAGTTTGACACCCTTGCATTAGAACATGATAACTAATATGGAAAGAGTAGAGAGAGGTGGCACCATCTAAGTGCAGCATGTAAAACACCATTTATTGGAGCAAAAGTGGAGCAACTCACAAGCTAGCAGCGTGAAAGCGCTTGTCAAAAAAACAAGTCATCCGCTAAAGGTCCTGGGTGTAATCAGCCACAACACTGGATGTAGCTAGGATGTCTCTCGGTGATGCTGGTGGCTCCCAGCGCTTACTGTGGACTTGGGTACACTAGAGGGATGGGGTGGATGTCACTTCCAGTCACATGAGTAGCGCAGGGGGAGGTGGCACACAGTCTGTGCAGTATCGTGGCTGACTACACCCAGATTTTTAGCTGATGATTTGTTTTTTTGACAAGCGCTTTCACGCTGCTATCTTGTGAGTTGCTCCACTTTTACTGCAAAAAATGGTGTTTTATACGCTGCACTTAGATGGCGCCACCTCTCTCTGTCTCTACTCTTTCCATACAGGTTTCCTTCTAGCTCTTGCCAAGCTGGCAGCCTCTATGTCCAGCAGTCCAAAACTACAGACTGATTTTGGGACCATATGGACTTTTCTTCTGTATATGGAGTGGACGCTGCAGCAATAAAATACAGTATCAATTGTAACGGAACCGGACCCCGACTGTGCTAGGGTATTTCCGTTAGACTCTTGCTTCCCTGTCCGAACACAGATCACCGGACAACACCGCTGACCAAGCAGGAAATAAAACAGGACCAAACTCTTCTTAAGACAGGAAGTCAACTGCTTTATTTTACCACAGACACAAGATATAAACATTCAAGGAAACATCCCCCCTCCCTGCATATGGACGCAGGGTGTGGCAAACCAAATCTAGTAACAAGAAACACACAGCAGACACCCCCCACCAAACCAATACACATACACACATACATCCTATAATAGTTTGCTAGCAAGCAAGACACAATAGAACAATGGGACAACCACATGGCAGTAAACAATGAACAACCCCCACACCCCACCTATACACCTCTACTCAGTATCAGGACAGAGCACCCTGTACCCCTAACAGGCACAGGGTGCCTTTACACATAAGGGGGATTGGGGGAGATGATACAGGGGTCCCCCCACCCCCAAAAGTCACTCCCGTCACATCAATCCTGTATAAATAATTAAAAAGAAGAAAAGTCTATATGGTCCCAAAATCAGTCTGTAGTTATGGACTGCTGGACTTAGAGGCTGCCAGCTTGGCAAGAGCTAGAAAG